AAAAAAAAAAAAAAAACAATTGGCGCACCTACATATCAATATATATATGTTTAACAGACTATCTTCCATGCAAGTTTTTTGCGCATTACAGAAATAATTAATTATATTCACTTTTTAACAGTTTTCTCCTCTTTATCAGCTGGTTTTTACATAGCTAAGAACTTTAATATGTATTTAACCATATCAATATCAAATATCATATTTTACTGTCATTATCAACATTAATATTTTCACTCTCCGAAATATTTATAAATAACATTTAATTTTGTTTGTTTGTACTATATTCGTGCGAGAACTTTCAACACTGGTATTCTCTCATTTTTTCTTTATTATCTACCCTTTTCACCTGTATAAAAAATTCACGTTAATGACAAGCATAGCAGCCGCTTGTGAGTACAAAAGTATATTTAACATTTCTTGTATGTGTGTACATAACTACAAAAGTATATGTATATAAATGTTTGTACATATTTATGAACCTACATTTGTACGAAAAGTAACACAGAGGCGAAAATTGTAGGCAAGAAAGCGGAAAGTGTGCGCACGTTTATTGCATATAGATTGAAAAGCATTAACATTTTTTAACTAAAGTGCATTTTTTGTATAGATATATATGTATGTATATTTTAGGTTGCACTTGTGCTACAACAATTCGTATGTAACTTTTTTTATGACAAATATCTCGAGTTAAAACTAAAAATTGGCAAAATGTCATTTCAATACACATATATACATACATTTGTAAATACATATGCATGTAGTCTGAGAGCTCTATTAAAATGAAATGAAAATTAATTAACAGTGTTCATTCTTTTTATTAAAACATAGTATTCCACGTTAAAAAAAGCACTGTGCACTTTTCCGGTCCATAAACACACCAACACAATCAACGCCATTACGTATTCGCACACACCTGCACATTTAACACAGCGCTGAAGTGTCGGCCATAACAGAGCACTTCTTTTAGCAATTCACATTTCATTTTAAATTGTATTTGTCCTCTAAGAAAATAATGTATTTTTGCTTAAATTTGTTTTTTTTTTCACGTACATAAATACTTTTGTTGTTGTTTAACTTCTTTTTTATTTAGTACCAGTGTGTCTGTGCACAGCAAAGAAACGTTGAAAAATCAATGAATGGCAGTAACAAAAACAACATACCAACTTAAGTGGCAGTCACATAGCAAAGCAGCGACGACGACTGCACAGGCAAAGGCAAAAAGCAGTAGAATTTGTATGTATGTAGGTATTTGGGCACTTAAAGAGAAGAGAGTAAAGTCATCAAAATCAAGTGTTGGCTGATTGTGAGTTTTTTTATTTGTTCAACGTTGTATCTATATAAAATTCTGTTAATATTGATAAAAAAAAGAAACAAAGCTTTTACTGCCCAACACACAGGTTAACCATACGTTGTAAGGTTGTTTTATATAATTAACATTTTGCACATTTTGCAAGTTTTAGCTTATCGCGTTAGGTATTCTACCCCCCACATGAAAACTATGGGAATACATACATATGTATGTACGTATAAAGCCATGGAAGAAACACCCGTGCAATAATAGCAGCAGTACGGCGACGTCAAGGTACGACGTCGACGAAGGCGACTGTAGCTGGTGTTTTTTTTCTGCAGCTACCGCTGCTGCTGCTACTACTACTACTTCTACTGCTTTTCCTGTTGTTGCCATCGTGGTGTAACGTAACTACGGTTAGGAGTGCTCATTTTTGTTTTATTCAATTAAAAATTCTTATATTTTTCTTATGGGAATTTTGCAAATTGCACATACAAACACCATGCATTTGAAATAACATTAATATATAGAGAAATACGTTATTTTAAAAATTGATTAATTTGGATTTGTGCTATTTAATTACATGTAATATGCTGCAGTTTTGCCCGCAAGCGTTGTTTTTTATTGTATTTTATGTTCTTTATGCACAGTTTTTTTTTATTTTCTTTTTTTTCCAACCACTTTTTTGCTTTTTTAACTCAACGTTTATAACACCGCGTCAAATAAACGTTTTTTCACGACGGCGTCAACATAACTAATACGGCCAATTCCATTTACATGTTCGGTATGAACGTTATCCACTTAACTGGGCGTTCCACAGTCCACGCATGTCAAGTCCACAAAATTCTTATTAGCACGAAGTTGGCTTTGATTCCAATTTGACAAAGTCGATTCGCAAAATTCCAATTGGAAAACTTGTATTGTTTTGAATAATTTTGTTTTGTGCTGACATTTGTGTTTGTTTTCTTTTAAGAAATTAGACATATCCGATTGTAAACATAGGGTATTCACAAAAGAAATTCGTTGCAATGTTGAATGAACTCATCCAAAAGGCAGTTTTTTAAACAATTAGAGATAATAAGATTTTAATTTGAATATATATTTTTAAAATTTGGTAATCGCAAAAAGACCGAAATTCAAAAAGGAAAATTTATGTAATTTCGCGTATGTTCTGGAGAGGTAGTTCTTCCACGATACCTTTTTGAAGCCCTCAAACTTTTTCCTATTTTCATAACGTTTTTCTGATGTTGATTTTTACAAGATTTTGACTGTGATGTACAACTTGTTAACCACATAACCATTCATTTCGCAAATTTATCATTTTTACGTCATTTTGTTAAGGGTTTTAGCAAGCTATAACTAAAAAAGAACAACTCTTTAGTTCGTTCGAAGCTGAGGTACGGCTATATTATTTGATATTCAGCCTACTTAACATATTCTCTTGGAGTGGAATGAGGTCCATTCAAACAACGTACCACCGTACAGTGATTGTTGTAGGTTTATGTCCCCAATGTAACTTAGTCATAGACATACTTTACAATTTGTTATGACGGTCGGAACTTTCTACCGGAACAAAGCGAATTTTTATCCGGCCAAGGGCTGTCGTTCCCAAAAATTAGTTTAGAGAATATTTTTGCAATTACAACAACAACATAAGGGACTTACTAACTTTGTAAAAAGCTAGACTTAGCCAGCATTCCATTTTTAGCTAATGAGCTATAATATCTTATATTTTAATTTAAGTCTTAAGATTTGATAATATTTGTGATTTTACTGATTTCGAAGCAGTATCAGCAAAGAACGTGTATATACGTTCTTTGGTATCAGTAGAAATATTACTAAAGTTTCAAAAGTAGCAAAAAAATTCGCTAGAAATTTGCAAATTTTGCTAATGTAAAAAAAATCTTAGAATTAAAAAATTTTTATTGAAGACGCGTTACTTAACACTGACACAAATTCCTTCATTCCAATTTCTTTCCTATTCCATGTTTTCAGGACTGGCAATACCGTAAATGTGAGTAATTTTTTCAGACAGAGAAATTTAGAAAACAATTTGCAATAGAAAATGCTAATTTAAGTACTTAAACTGTTGAAATAAATACAATAGAAATATAACAAGTGCGGCAACAAGGTATATTTAATTAATAAATGTACATATTTTGCAAAAGCAGTAGAATATATACTCTGTGAAATTGGCAGACGTGGGTGAAAATTATTGATTTTCAACATTCGTTAAATTTCGGTGATTTATCTAACCTTGTCCGAAGTAAAAACCAAAATTCAAGCAATTTTCATTATATATTTCTTTTAAAACCGATATAGAAATTGCTGAAAATTGTATAATTAAATTAAAATTATAAAATAAAGTCAAATTGAAGCATTATTGTCTATTCTGGTCAAAGGATTTGTATTTTGTAATGACATCATCAATACAGTACTTATTAGTATTCTTTGCCAATACTTGATTCCATATACATACATTGAAACAAAATGGTATTTTTCAGTTTTCTTTTAGTTCTTTTATTGTTTACAAAAATTTGAAAGTGCCTAATTTTGATTCTACCTACATTGTCACATTATACTTAAATCAAAGTATTAAACATTGTACTACTAGGGTTCTGTTATCTACTTACATACATATGCTATATACATAAAGAAACATATTCAGTTTTTTCTTTACCGAAATTTAGCAAGAACAAAGTAAACTTTTTCATAAATCCCAGAGAGCAAGAAACAATAACTTGCAAAAATGGATCGCAAAGCTGAATTGGAACGTAAAAAGGCCAAATTGGCCGCACTTCGTGAGGAGAAAGATCGCCGTAGGCGTGAAAAGGAGATGAAGGATATGGAAGAGGCTGCTGGACGGATCGGTGGTGGTGTCGGCATCGACAAAGATCAGCGGAAGTAAGTGTTTAAGTCGATGTTTACATAAAAAAAATTTAAATTAAATAAAATAACTTTTTACAATTCTAACGCTCATAGAGATTTAGATGAGATGTTATCCTCACTAGGTGTTGCACCAGTCTCGGAAGTTTTATCTTCCTTGTCATCTGTAAATTCTGTAACATCAGACAACTCCAATACGCAAACTCCGGACGCAAGTTTGCAAGCGAATATGAATGGTGTTGGGTTAGTTATTAGTGAATATTTGAAATATTGATCTTTCCTATTTTATTTCTATATATATTTTTAAATCAAACAGCGTCGCCAAGAAGCAGCCTTTGAATTTGAGCGTTTACAATGTACAAGCAACTAACATTCCACCAAAAGAAACTTTGGTATACTCAAAACAAACGCAAACTACTAGCACCGGAGGACACGAACGTGATGGTGGGTACTTATAAGCTTACAATTTAATTGTATTTGTTTGGTTTTATGGTTTAACGTTATAATAATGTATGTATTTGTTAAACAATATAAATTGCTTATAGTGTACATGTGTGTAGAGTAAGCTAAGTTCTTTGATTACTGGCTTAATAGTTTTAGAGATAAATAATAATTTGCGCAATACATGTTGGAAGAAGCTTAAATTGGGTAATCAAAGAAAGGCTCTTGTTCGCAAAAGCTTTTTTGATTTCCCACTTTTTTGACTACAAGAAACGTGAAATGTGAAAACGCTTTCTCTCTACCCTCTGCATTTCATAATCAACACGACATTTACGAGCTATCACTTCTATTCCATTTAGTTTTCTGATAGAAAATAGCATTATAAGTTAGTGCTTTCCTAAATGTATGTATGAATGCATGCATTTTGCGTTACTAAAAAAAAAAACATATATAGATAAATATATAGATATACATACTTTCAACGCATGTATTTTGCTAGAAAAGCAACTAAGCACAGTATATATTGTGCTTTGATTTGCACGCGGTGCTATATACATATTATATATGATACGTACATACACACTTGCAATATACTTTTATTTAGTAAAAAAAAAAAGAACTTGATCTGAAAATCATAATGAAATTAAATAACAAATACAGTTCTTTCTTGCCACTCCTCACCTCTATCAGGATACATGGAGGATTGGTGGCGGCCACGTAAAGGTACTGGTATTTATTATTTCAGCAAATCGAAAATCTGAAAAATTAAATAATTTTATGAATAATTTGCAAATTTGCTTTATAAAATTTAACTTAATCTTTTAAGCATATGCATTTGGCTATTTATTTCGAATTTTCATGCACATGCCACTCATAAACTTCACCTTTTTTCTGTATGTAAATGATAAATTTTATTTTATTTTAATTTTCTTATACTGTTTTTATTTGACTCCTGCCTATTTTAACTTTAACGGCTTCGTAATTCTAATTTAATATAATTTAAATAAACTTCTTACTATTTTCAATATTTTGCCGAAGATCTCTTACACTAATATGACTCTCATATATTTTTCCATTTTTGTTTCTAGCTCATGCTACGGACTATTATGGTGAGTTGTGCTATAATTATTATTTATTACATAAATTTTATATGCGCATATTTATGTATATATTACATAACTTTCAACTTTCGATTACTTTGTAAAAGTATATATACTCTCTAAAATATTAAAATATATGCACGCTCTTTCTCTCTCTGAATATATGTGTGTCTACGCGTGTATAGTCAGTAACGTTTTTTTTTATATGTATTTAGCGCATAACTATCAAGTATTTTCTTTTATGCAGCTTGATATTTTCCTTATTTGTAAAAGGAATGAGTTTTTCATTTCCAAGTGTGAATAGTTAAGTCGTAGTTGTAGTTAAATAATTTTTGTTTCGTTTTTTTTTTTATTGTCGTTATATAAATTTAACGAATATATTTTGAGACATTTTGCTCCGTTCAAACATTCGTAATATATATTTTTAAGTTTTCGCCTATGTATTCGATTCACATTATAATTTTTTTCTCCACCCATTTTATTATTTCGATGCGGTAAAGCGACAAAAATATTCTTCGTTGTTTATAAGTTGGAAACAAAAAAAATATTGTAGACTTAGTAAGTATTGGATTGTTTGTAAAGGAAAATATTTTCAGTTAGTAATCGGCAAAATAATGCATTCTGTTTCAAAAAGAGTTTGAAAAATATATAAATATGTATATTATATAAATATATATATATATATATATATACAATCATAATGTTAATAATTAATTTGCATACAAATAAATATATGTCAAGTATAGTTTTTAGTTAATTATTTTAAATTTTCCCCACTCAACCCCTCCCGATCATACAAATATATGTTCATTGCAAACAAAAAAGGAAATTGTTAACACTTGCTTTGAGGGCGTTAATTATTCATTATTTTGTGTGTGTGTGTGTGACAAAATGCGGTTGTATATAATTTTATTAAAAAAAAATTTAAAATTTATTTTCCTAAACAAAAAAACGTATGCATGCTAATTTCGTAAACAAATATTTATACATATACATATATGAGTTTCAAATATACATATTTGATTAAATACGCTAAAACTGTAAGAGATACATATATATATTCTTTAGCTAGCGGCCAATCAATACGTTCTGTTTGCTTCCGAAAATGTAATTCAATGTTTTTTTATGCAATAACATACATTATAAATATATACATATATATATATATATATATTTTATATAATTTTAATGAAACGAATACTCTTAATCACTATGTCTGCAACGCATTTTGGTGAAATTCGTAATTTATTAAATTTTGCATCCCTCAACTTAATGATTTTTTTGTTTTTTTTTGTTTATGACAAGCTAAAAAGTTAGTGACAAATAACAAAAAATTGCTTACACCAAACATCTTTCTATATTCTGTATATTTTTCAAGACGAATACAATCTTAATCCGGGTTTAGAATGGGAGGATGAATTTACAGGTAGGTAAACTCTGCGGTAATATATCTTTATAACAGTAGCGGAACGACATGAAGCAAAATAGGAATGTGACAAATTCTCCAAAAAAAAAAAAAAAAAAAAAATAAATAAATAAATAAATGTGAAATTAAAAAAAAGCACTTAAAAAAATATCTAAATAAAAAAGAGTGCAAGCTTAGTAGTTCAATACAAACTATGCTTTTTTTAGCGCATTTCAAGTTGTAAATGTCCGAAATAAGTTAGCTTAATATAATTTTTAAGACCTTGCTAATTATTTGCCAATTAGGAAATTAAATTATTTAATGAAAAAAATTACAACACTCACCATGTGTTAACTGCCAGTGCGAAAAAAAACTTGTATAAATGTGTAAACCCAACCGAAATTCTTCTTTGTGCCTCGCAGTCCACTCTAATTTTCCTCCTGTTTTGTCCCATAGCCCATACGGTCAACATGCTGTATACATATATAACACATTAACCAATATAATTACATACTACGCTTGTCATTAACGTTTGTATATTCGTTCATGCAGTCATTTTAACATTCCCATTATTGTAATATTTATTTTAAAAACACGAAACAACAAATAACACAATGGCGGTTAATTATTGAAATTAATACAAAAAAGAAAAAGGTATAAAATGAAAGAAAAATTAAATTTAAAGTGATAGAAAGGAAAAAAAGTATGAAAAAAATAGAAAAGAAAATATTAAAATTAGTAAGAAAATATCTAAATTCCATTTATTAAAAGGCAAATAAATTAAATTTGTTTGTTATGATTTGTTTATAAGGAAATTAAGAAATGAGATTTATTAAATAACAAATAAATGAAAATCTTTAATATGATTTGTGTATAAATGAAGAAATTAAAAAACTTGAGTTTTTAAATACCAAATAAATTAAATTCTTTAATATGGAAATTAAAAAATATTATTTTCTTAAAAAGCAAATAAGCTAAATTCTTTAAAATGATTTGCTTAAAAATAAGGAAATTAAAAATTATATTTTATTAAAATGCAATTAAATTAAATTCTTTTACATGCCTTGCTTGTAACTTTCAATACGCACCGCTTTTAATTTATTTACTTATTATATAAAACATGTTTATTAAATTGAAAAGGCTAAAAAACTAGTTATTTCATACATAAATGTAAATTCAATTTTTATGCATACTCAATATTTAGCTATTTTCTCATTTCTGTTAACTGTTCAAAATTAAATAACTGTATGGAATTATTAGTTAATAATAATTATTATTTTATTTTTTTTTTAATTATTTTAAATTTTTTTTTCAAATTTTTTATGCAATTTTTTATTAATTTTTTTGTCTAAATTGGCTACATGTACTTTTTTTTTTTTTTTTTTTTTTTTTTTTTTTGTTTTTTTTTTGTTTAATAAAAGTAGCAAAAAAATTTGTTTCTAGAGATTTTTCCTTATCTGAAGCTCAAACTTTTATATTAACCAATTTCTTACAAACTAAATCTTTCAAAACAGAAAACTTTTATAAAATATGCAAATTATTGGGTCATAAAAATCATTGAAATGTTAAAAAGTTTTTAAATTTCAAGAGAGGCCAAATTATTTCAATCCCTCTTTCTCTTGGTGTTGTGTATATACAAAACGACGCGCAAACACACTCACGCTTTTAACCAACATTAAATATTATGTAAACACACCATACTTACTACATATATTTCTATTCATTCATGGTGCTTCACACCCTCTTACCTACCACATACATACATACATAAATAAATTTAAAAAAAATCTGATTTTGAAAAAAAATGAACAAATTTTCTTCTATTCATCAGCAAAAAGCTTAACTTTTGATTTCTTTCTTTCTACCACATTGATGAGGATTAAACCGTTATCAGGCCAAATGCACTGAATTATTTACATATAATTACTACTACAACACATGTATACATACTACATACATAGATTGAATTCTTGAAATGGCATACGAAATTCTGTTAAGCATAAATATATACATGCATATATTCAATTATATGAAATATAAATTGGGTGGAGAAACGTGAATAGTAGTATGTTAAGACAAATAATAAATTTAATAATTGTATTTTAATAAATTTAATGAAAAGAGAATTATATATATATATATTTACAATACATTTACGCTCAAATATTGCACACTATTTTACAATTTCATAATAATAAATAAGTTTAATTGGCTCTTGTGTACATTATAGATTTTTATTTAATTTTTTTTTTTAAATAACAAACACACATACAAGCATATAAACATATGTACAAATAAACAGTAAACAAAAAACAAAAAAAAACAACTGTTTATTGTGTACAGTTAATTTTTGTTAATACACATTTTCACAACAACAACAACTAAAGTGATTTAAAAAATGTACAAACATATTTAACATAAACTAATATTATTGAATATATATAATATGTACGTATGTGTTGCTAAACTGAAATGATATTTTTTTACTACAATTAATAACATTTTCATATAGTGTATGTAATCTCGATTTTTTTTACTGCGCATACCAAATATTTCACTAAGCGCACTGTGTTTAACACCCTTGGTAAATAACAACTTTTTTTTAAGGAAAAAACCTTAACCTCACTTTTTTTAATTCTAAATTTTTTGTTTACTAAAAACTCTTATTTTTCCAACTAAATGTTTTTTAAAAGGAATTATCGGTGTCTAACCGTTATAAAGTGTATGAGGTAAATACGTCATGGAAATTAAAAAAAAAATATTAAAAATTTAATAAACACATTAAGAAAAATATTTTAAAGAACTAAAAAATACACGCGCTAAATGTAAAAGTTTAAATAAAACATATAATTAATGGAAAATCGCTTAAAATATTTAAAATTTCAAAACACTTTCTCTGCCAGCACGTTTTTGCGAATACCGAGTTTTTAATAATTAAAGAAACAAAAAAAAAATTAAATAAAAATATGCAAAATAAAATAATATATTTGCAGAAATATTTGCTTTATAATGAAATTATTGAAAAACGTGATCTTACATACATATATGTTAGCGTTTGTGAGCTATATAAGCGTTTAAAGTCGCTTATTATTTTTGAAAAGTTGGTTGAAAATTCTAGTATCTCTTACTAAAATATCGAATTTTGCTATAACATTTTAAACTATAAAATTTCATTAATTGAATTAATTTAATTTAATTCATTTTAATATAATTCATCTATTTTTTAATTTTAATTTTTTAATTAACATTTCAAATATGCCCTCACCGCGTACGAATTGAGTTAGTGGTTGTAACTTAAAATTATTTTGAATAACTGATTTACATAAATTTATGCTTTCCAACGCTCGTTAGAGTCAACTGTAGCGTGTTTTTCATCCGAATAAACATGTTATAATTTACAAGACCTTTAATGCAGTTAAAAATATATTTTTTTATTTAATCATTTCATTTCTTGTGCTGTTTATCATTCATTGAACTCACTACAACATTAACATGTTTTCTTTTCAATACATTTGCAAGCAAAATATCTTTTTTTTTATTGTTGTTTATTACTTTCATGAACTTTTCACGCTATTCAGTGCACCTGCGCTCATCAACTAATGTGCACACTGCTCAATTTTTATTATTATTTTTGTTGTATTTTTTTATAAAAAACATTCTTTGAATAAAAAGTTTAATTAAATTTATTTTTTTAAGGTTATATTATTATTAAAAGGTTTAATTAAAAAGATTTTTTGTTAAAAGGTTTAATCAGAAAGATTTTTTTATTAAAAAGTTTAGTTGAACAAATTTTTTTCATTAAAAATTTTTAATTGAAAAGATTTTTTTTATTAAAAAGTTTAATTAGAAAGATATTTTTTATTAAAAGGTTTAATTAGAAAGATATTTTTTATTAAAAGGTTTAATTGGAAAGATTAATTTTTTTTATAAAGAGGTTTAATTAAACATTTTTTATTTATAAAAAAGAGTAATTAAAAACAATTTTTGAATAAAAAGTTTGATTAAATTTATTTTTTTTACGGTTATATTATTATTAAAAGGCTTAATTAAAAATATTTTTTATTAAAAAGTTTAATTAAAAAGATTTAATCAGAAAGATTTTTTTTAATGAAAAGTTTAATTAAACAACTTTTTTTCATTAAAAATTTTAATTGAAAAGATTTTCTTATTAAGAAGTTTAATTGGAAAGATTTTTTTTATTAAAAAGTTTAAATAAAACGATTTTTTTCATTCAAAAGATTTCTTTATAAAGAAGTTTGATTATATTTTTTTAATTAAATAGATTTTTTTATTAGATAGTTAAAGTAAAGAAATATTTTATATTAAAAAGTTTAATTAAACCACATTTTTTTTTATTAAAAGTTGAATTGAAAATATTTTTTTCTTAATTAGTTAAAAAAAAACATATATTTTTATTAAAAAGTTTAACTAAAAAGAGTTTTTTTAATAAACAGTTTTTTTTATGGTTTAATTAAAAGCTGTGAATAAATAGAACTTTTTTTAAAAAGAAGACATTTTTTTTATTAAAAAATTTAATTTGATATTTTTTTTTATAAAAAAGTTAAATCAAAACAATTTTTTTTATTATATATAATACATATGTATATGTATGTACGCACCCTTCAACTTCAACTCACCTTATAAACAGAACTTTTATTTTCACACTTTTGAGTTACATTCATTACAAACTCACTGCGAAAACAATAAAGGCAATGTGATGAATTTTTTAATATTTAAATTTCGTTTATGCTTTTTTAATTTTTTTTTTTTATTCTTGTTTTATTTCTATATTTTTTTTTATTTAGCTTTTTGATATTTTTTATTTTTTTCATTTAGTTTTTTAATTTTTTTTATTCTTATTTGTTTTTTAAATTTTTATATTTTATTTATATTTATTTTATATTGTTATATTTAGTTTTTTATTTTATGTTATTTTTATTGTTCTTTTATAACTAAATTTTGTTTAAATATTTTTTTTTTTATATTTTGCTATGTTTATTTTTTTGTATTTAATTTTAATTTTTTTTGTGCTTTATTATTTTTATTGTTTTTAAAATAATTTTTTTTTATAATTTTATATTTTTCAATTTTTTATATTTTTTTATTATTTTATATATTTTTTTATTTTTTTTTTCATATTTTTTATAATTCTTAATAATTTTTATATTTTTACTTTTTGTTTTTTTTTTTTATTTATTTATTTATTTTATTTTTTTTTTATTTTTAATTATTTATTTATTTTATTTTTATTTTTTTTTATTTTTAATTAATTTTTTATTTTTTTTTTTTAATCTAATTTTATTTTTTGTTTTATTTTATTTTTTTTTTAATTTTGTTTTATTTTTTTTTTAATTTTATTTTATTTTTTATATTATTTTTTTATTTGTTTTATTTATATTTTTTTATTTTTTTTTTGTTTATTTATATATTTTTTTATTTATTTATTTTTTAATAATTTTTTTTTTTTCAAATTAAAACCTTTTCACCTCACACGGCTCTTTTCGCCCACCTGAGAGGGGAAAATTGTAGAGAATAACTGCTGAGAGAAATATGTACCTCTATTAACAACAGCATAACAAGTTGTACTTTCGACTACCAGTAAAGTCAATGAAGATAATCAGAATGTATTGTTGTTTTTGTAACTGCAAAAAATATTCCCAAAGTGTTTTTTGCCTGAAAGACACTCCTTGGCCGACTAAAAATCTAAAAAATCCAAGCGATTTCGGTTTAAAGACCTGTCTTTTAGCAAACTCTTACGAGAGGAATGCCTTACCGCTTGTAAATTCTTGAACCGCTAAACTTTTGCGGACAAAATCAGAGCGTCATAACTTTGATCTTACTATAGCGACTAATCTACGCTCCAAAGTTGGTCACTCGGCGCATGTCTGGAGTATAAAGCGACTAATTTCAACTAAATTTAATAAAGCAGCGCTTAAATGGTCTTCGTTTGGCAGATGTTTATGATAAAGTCATAATTCTCTTGAAAAAAAAAAAAATTAAACAAAAAACTCGTCTTGAGGACGGTAGAGAATGATCGTTCGAATTTTACGAATAGTTTTTAAAATTGTAATTAATAAATTTAAAAAAAAACACACAATTTGAAGGATATTCATTCTCGACTCAAGTATTTTAAATGCTTTTTAAGCCAAATGCAGGCGTGATCTTGCGAAGGAAACGTGAAATGCTTTAACTTGCTCGATTACTAACTATACTTAATATACATTTTTCACTTCAAAACTTGCAACTCATATTTGCTGTACATTCGCACTGAATCACTTGAATGTTTTAGGTTATAAAATGAAATGTAAATAACATATATATGTATGTACATACATATCAATAACACATCCCACAACACGCACCAAAATTTTTAGCTCTTCACAAGAACACGCAACCAAATTCAGCGAAAGTCAGCAAAAATTCCCTTTGGAAACCAAAAAAAAATAATAATAATATATTTAAATTATTTAAATAAATGCTGTGCAGAAAAGCCAATTAATTTGTGTAAAATATTATTAATTTAAAAAAGTAATGCGCGACATAGGCACGTCTTAAAGTAAAACGAGAAAACGAAACAAAGCCAATTATTTGTGTGAATTGTGCTAATGCAAAAAAAAAAAAAGAAAATAAAAAAAATAAAAACAGAAAGTAGAATTGTTCCTGTTCTGTCGATTGTCATGTTCCTCTAGCTGTGTTAGTTTTATACATTAAACAGTGCTTGCATTTGATGCCCAAGGAGATGACGAAGAGAGCTCGCTGCCACATCTGGATCACGGTTTCACCTCGAAGTTGCCGCCTGGCTACTTGACGCATGGCCTGCCCACGGTGAAGGACGTTGCGCCAGCCATAACGCCATTGGAGCAAAAGAAGGAACAGGAGGAGAAGAAGGAGAGTGAGTGTAAAATGTTTTAAATTTACTTTTTCTAACAAATAACTTGTATATCATCTTATTACTTTTCAACAGTTAAGGAACTTTCAGAGGAACAAAAGCAAATGATCGTACTTTCCGAGGACTTCCAACGTTTTGTTTTGCGCGCTGGACGCGTTGTGGAGCGTGCACTCTCCGAGAATGTTGATATTTATACAGATTACATTGGCGCCGGCGACAGCGAGGACACCAATGATGAACGTACACATGCACGACTCTCGTTGAATCGGATTTTCTACGATGAACGTTGGTCGAAGAATCGTTGCATCACCTGCATGGATTGGTCTACACACTTTCCCGAACTGGTCGCCGCCGCATATCACAATAACGAAGAGAGTCCCAACGAGCCGGATGGTGTTGTTATGGTTTGGAATACTAAGTTTAAAAAACAAACACCTGAAGATATTTTCCATTGTCAAAGCGCTGTGATGTCAACGTGTTTTGCCAAATTCAATCCAAATCTTATACTGGGCGGTACATACTCGGGACAGATAGTGCTTTGGGATAATCGCGTACAAAAGCGCACACCAATGCAGCGTACACCACTCAGTGCGGCAGCGCATACACATCCAGTTTATTGTTTGCAAGTTGTTGGTACACAGAATGCGCATAATGTCATCTCGATCTCTTCGGATGGCAAACTATGTTCATGGAGTTTGGATATGTTGTCACATCCTCAGGATACGTTGGAATTGCAACAGCAACGGCCATCGAAATCGATTGCAGTCACTTGCATGGCATTTCCAGCGAATGAGATTAATAACTTGGTAATGGGCAGTGAGGATGGCTACGTGTATTCAGGTAAATTTTTGAAAACCACATTTAGAATTGGTAAGAATATATAGTTAACTTGTACAAATTTGTTACGCGAGGCTCCGCAGCTTTTGTTACTGCTCCCAACTAGCGGACTTGTCGACGCAGAAGAAATGTGCGAACTAGTTTAGGCGACTTTTTTATGCTGCTCTCTTCGGTTAACAAAATGAAGGGACAAAGACAAGCACCAACGATGCGCTTGTTTTGTCCAGAAAGGAGGTTTAGCAGGCTTACAAAAATGCAAGACCCTACACATCCTTCGGTTCTAACGAAATAAACATACGGCCTCAGAAATATGTGGTTCCAGCGATTGCAGAACAAAACCCGACATGTAGAGACATGGTAAAGGAGGATTATATCGGCCGATATCTCCCTTTCTTCTCCAGTAGCATAGGTACAGTCTATCACAAAGTGCCAATGTCTCAAATTACTTCCGAGGTTGCAGAGGAAAATCATGAATTTCCTAAAGGGTCCATAGCCGTCGGTAGAATTTCGAAGTCAAAATTCACAACTACGCAAAATTAAGCAGGTCTTTTGTGACTCGAAGCTCCATATGTCCTCTACCATAGAGCGTTTCTTTGCCTCAACAAAATCACCAAATGGTCAGCCGGCAGAGAAAGGAACATTTCCCGCAAGATGATGTCACCGCGGCATCACTTAAATAGCGAAAAATCTATGTTCCAGTACCTGCTGTTCAAATCTTACCAACAAACACCCACTTGAAGTCGAAACTCATTCCAGGCACATCAGAAACGGACTACTAGGGTTCCATACACGACAAAAAACCGCTAGACCAAGCCTAAACGACATTAGCAGAAAATCCGTCAATATCTTTATAAGCTCTCGTTCCGTGGCCGGTGTGCTCGGAATCAAAGCACCACTCATAGCAGACGAAATGCTCTGCGCTGCCTCGCGAAACCCGAGTAATACCTAACCAGACTTGAACCCGACATACTTAACATATGTACCGCATTAAACGAGTCCCCGCGAGACACTTATTACTTTGCATTTCCCCTAAAACCAACTCATCTAACCCCCTCTCCCTCTGTTCATTGCCCGTCGAAATAACTCGTTTCCTGGAATTCCCGTTAGCGGACGGCGATGACTTAACCTAACCAGCCTGCTTTTAATCGAGGTCGGGGAACCGGTACTACAACAACAAAAACGGCGCATTGACTGGCTGTAAACTCTATTAACCAAAAGTCTCTCAACACCATCATGATACTGAACGGTGTGCTCGGAACCAAACCACCGCTCATTACAGACGAAGTATCCGAGCTGCCTCGCGAAACCCGAGTAATACTGGCACAATTAAGGTCTGGATACTGTAGCCGACTCATTTCCTACCAAATCAGACATACTTAGCGTATGTCCTACATGCATTCAGTCTCCATACGAAACTAACCACCTGAAATATACTCATCTAACACCCCTCTCCCTCTGGTCCGGACCCGTCGAAACAGCTCTTTCCCTGGTTCTCTCGTTGGATGACCTCGGCGACATAGACTAGTTGTCTATAATAACTTTCAACCCCGTTTTAGCCTAGATCTTGAATCATTTTGTCGTTTATCGCTCACGTCTAAATAAGCCGAACTGGCCTGGCCTACAAACGTGGAACACAACACCTAATACCGAAGCTATGTAGAACTTAGTGAGCTGAAACGCGCGCTTTTGGTGCGAAAGATACAGAATTCTTCAAATATATATTAACTTTCTTACTTTTTATCAAACCAAATAATGATAAATTCTCTTACTTTTCAACAGCCTGTCGCCATGGTTCTCGCACTGGTGTTAACGATGCCTTCGAGAAGCACTTGGGACCAGTAACAGGCATCTCAACGCACTATAATCAATCCTCGCCCGACTTTGGTCATCTCTTCTTAACTTCCTCCATCGATTGGACTATCAAACTTTGGTCGCTGAAGGTTGGCTACAAATAACATTTTGTCCATGCATATCTCTGCAATAATTCTTAACCAAATTATTATTATTTTTTCTTTGTTTTCAGGATACCAAACCACTATACTCATTCGAGGATAACTCTGATTATGTCATGGATGTCGCATGGTCGCCCATTCATCCGGCACTATTTGCTGCTGTCGATGGTAGCGGTCGACTTGATCTATGGAATCTGAATCAAGACACCGAAGTACCCACAGCATCTGTTTTGGTTGAGGGTGCGCCAGCGCTTAATCGCGTCTCGTGGACTCCATCGGGTCTGCATGTGACTATCGGCGACGATACAGGCAAACTGTATGTTTACGATGTCACCGATCATTTGGCGCAGCCGACACGTGATGAATGGTCGCGTTTTAATGCGACACTCAATGAGCTCAAAATGAATCAAAGCGATGATGTTTAAATCAAAATACGAGTGTGAAAGCAACAAAAAAAAAACGAAAAAAAACTGGCATTCATCATTACATATGATATTGCGCAAAATAAATTGATTTAAAAAAAGACTTAATTGTAATTCTACAACTATGTATGGCAACTTAATATGGCAAAACGAAAAAAAAAACGTTTGGTGAAAGGTGAATTCCTTAAAAAAAAAATTATTTAATGTATATGCACATGCAAATTGTATCTAGCCCTTCTATATCTGCATTAACTTAATAACTTGAAAGATTTTACAAAGCAGAATAAAAGGATTTAATGCTTTTTTATAAAACGTAAGATACTCGCGCTTAAATGATTGTAGAAAAGTGCTCGAGTGAACTTACATTGAGTATTGAATAAATCAAATTTTCTATTGTTTCAATTAAATTGTGCTTAGCGGTTACATTTTTAATTAGTATTATTATTTTTTTTTATAAATCCTTGGTAAATTTTATTCCGTGTTTTGTAAGTATTTTTTTTTTATAATAAAATCTTATTTCCAACTGAGAACTGATACTAAAAACAGGAATCTGGAAATTATTTGTATATCCAGCTTGAATGAATGAGCATTAAATGAAAAAAAAAATATAAAAATAAAAATAAAAATTAACTATTATGAAAATTAATGTATACAAATATAATAAAAATTTACTGATTTATTGGAAAAATATATATAAATATAAATCAATAAATTAAATATATTATAAATATAAAATCGTTTTGTGGTTAATTTTTCACTAAGCTCAGCGTACTTAGTTGTTGTTGTAACCGCAAAAATATTCCTCAAAGCAATTTTTGGGGAATATTGCGCAAGTGGCAGTCCTTGGCCGTATAAAAAACCCGACTGTCGCGGAGACTATTGGATTTTAGTCGCCTCTTACGACAGGCATGCCTTACCGGAGGAAAATTCCCGAGCCCCTAGCCTTCAGAAGGGTTGTTATTGTTGTTGTTGTAGGCGGCTTGTCAACCCCCATTAAACATAGGCTAGATCAGTCGTAAGTCATCGAGGTCATCTAAACAGGAAACAAGCTGTTTTGACTGCCTTGCACCAGAGGTAAAGGGGTGGCGTTAGAAGAGTTTATTTTAGGGTACAAGCAAAGAGTTGGTTCATGTCATGCGGGAACTCACTACATTCAGGACATACGTTAGGTATGTCAGAATCAAGACTGGATAGATACGAGTTTAGTCTACTACCATAACCAGATCCAAGTTGCGCCAATATTACGCGGTACTCACGAGGCAACTCGAGCTCTTCGTCCGCAATGGGTGGTGGTTTGACTACGAGAACACCATTCAATTGACGATAGTTCAGCAAGCTGTTGACGGAATCTCCCTGAATGGCCTTTAATGTCTGTCGGTAAGCCGTTGTTGTTGTTGTTGCAGCCGCAAAAACATTCGCCAAAGCACTTTTTGGGAATATTGTGTAAGTGACCGTTCTCGACCGGATAAAAATCATGGTCATTCCGTTATACAGACCTGGCTGGCGCATGAGCTTGTGGATTCTAGCCACCTCTTACGACCGGCATGCCTTAACGTGGTTAAAATCTTAAACCCCTACCTCGTAGAGGCAACCCTTTCCAACGGTTATTGTAAATGGGGTTGAATGCAGCCTTTCGGCTTCTAGTAAGTGTCTGCTTCGGGGTGCTCCCAACAGGAATTACTTGCACAACAAATTGTTATCCTTCTTAACTCCTAGCAAAGATGTTTCGAGGTGCAAGTGATGCATTGGCGACACTAAGCGGTTTCTTGTCACGGTCATGAAGAAGGTGTTTTGGCAGATTTGTAGCTTCTTCAACTACGCCTCGCTAATCCCGAGCGCTTAGATCGGAACAGGATAGTTTACGACCGGTCGGGCAATTGCCTTGTAAGTTGCCAGCAACGTTTCTTTTATTGAGGCTCTAACTCCACAATCAGGTTCTAAAATATACCTCCTTATTATTGCATATAATATGTTGGCGATTATTGGAAATATCAAGTGAAATTCACTCTTCATCACAGAGTGATGCTTTTCACCTGTTTTGCTTCCATCAGCGGCTACTGGTTCGAAAACTTTCGAAATTTGGAGCACTTTCGTTCTTTCGGATGAAATGACCCAACCAGCATAGCCGTTGTCTCTTCATTTGCTGAACTATATCAATATTGCCGTATGTCTGGGTAAGGCCATTAATCGTAAACAAAACCTTTCTTTTCTTTCCGGAATGAACCTTACTTTTCAGTTGCCTACTCAGTCGGAAGTAGCAGCTATATCGACAAGAGTGATTCTTCGTTGGATTTCAAGGTTGACGACGTTATTTGTGTTGATGCTGGTTCGCAGATACGAGCAGATGTCTATAACATACAGTGTCGTGAAAGCCGGATCCCGATTGCACCGACTGTGTATTCGATGACAGAAGTTATTTCGTTTTGTTCTCGTTCAAGTCCTCGAAGACGCTCCGAAGAAAATATAATATTTTGCATTGAAATCGTTGGAGTAAACAACATATCAACCAGTGGGAATGGAACATTATTTCATAGGGCAAGTGGGAACCGGACTGCAGTCCTACATTTCTAAAGATTTTGCTTTTTAATTTACTTTTCGCGTAAGTCAGTACCGTGATTTCTTTGAATTCTCGTATCCCATAGTTTATTAATTCCATTTCCATCCACCCATGCCTGTCCACATTCCTTAGGAAGAAAATGGGAACATGATAGTAAAAGATATGACGTGCCAAACAGCTGTAGGCAAAGGTTGTATTTTAACCAACGCTCTACACTCAGCCGGCTCCAGATATCTCAAGGATGGAGATCCCGTCAATGCAACGACAAGTACATATAATAAGTCTCCGGCTGCTCAGTAGATGCGAAATTTTGCTCTGTCTATAATGGTTAGCGTTACGTACTGACATTCGGAAGCCCCGGGTTCCATATCACGTTGCCAGCAACATCGAACATGGAAAATTAGTTAAAATAAAAAAATTAAGTTAAATTCTTTAATTGCGGTCGCCCCTCGGCAGGGAAAGTCCACCCCTCCGAGTGTATTTCGGACATGAAACAAAGGTTCCCCAAAAAAAAAAACTTTCAGCCATTCGGAGGCGGCTGAGTGTAAACTGTAGGTCGCTCCATTTGTTGGAAAAAACATCAAAACGCAAAACCACAAATTGGAGGAAGAGCTCGGCCGAAAAATCACTTTAGCGGTTACAAAGTGTCATCACAGGTGTTTAAAGATACGCCGGATCTTTACGACCTACTCAAGCCTCCACTGGTTCAGTTAGCGTTTAGGGGCGCTAAAAACTCGTAGGCAATCGTGGCTTACAGTCGGCACTAGCACGAGACAGCTCGTTTTTCGGCGTTTCTGCTATTTTGAAACTACATACATACATCAAGCGGCTGCTCGGTACTTCGGCTTTCCAAGCGCTTGAGTATTTCTTAATTATTTATGCGTATTAAGACCTTACCGTTAGTTCATTGATATTCTACGTTGCGTGCAATCGTCTTTATATAAGGAAAAGACCCAAACGCACGGCTTGGACCCATAAATACACAAGCAAAATTATTAAGAGGCGACTTTCGTTCGTTCAAACCTTACATAGAGAATGAAAAAAGAAAAAACACAAAACGATGAGTCGACTATCATACAAAAGGCGTGTGTAATTATTGCATTCCAAACAACAATACATACATACATACATCCGTACATATGTAACTGCGAACGAGAGTTGTTGCCATACAACTTACGGCCAGTTAAATTCGTTTAGTCGTTGAGTAACTTTTGAGAAGTAAACAAGAGACTAGAGACTGGAGACTAGAGACAAGCTACATACATACATACGTGTATATAAGTAAAATAAAGTGAATATTCAAGAGAAATTAATATAATTGTATAATTTGAATTCACCAAAGCAGTCCAATGGATTACAAAGTGAGTAAATGAAATTTTCCAACTACAAAGTCTCAGTACGGCGGACATATTGATTTTGTCTCTAATACACTTTCGTCCTCATTCTTATGGCATGCGTCATCATATTTTCCACCCATCGCCCGCCTCCAATAGCCTACACCCACTGTAGTGCCCGCCGCACCATTTGACGTTTCCGCCGATGCACAGGCATTGCGCGCCGCCATGAAGGGACTCGGCACGGATGAGGAGGAGATCATTAATCTACTTGCGGCGCGCACTAATTCCCAACGGCAACAAATTAAGGCGCAATTCGAAACGGAATTCGGGCGTGACTTAGTCGAAGACTTGAAGAGTGAGCTGGGTGGCAAACTTGAAGATGTAATTGTGGCCTTAATGACACCACCGGTTGAGTATTTATGTAAGCAATTGCATGAGGCTATGGCTGGTATGGGTACCGATGAGGAGACACTTGTCGAAATACTCTGTACAAAAACGAATGAAGAAATGCAGGAAATAGTAGCAGCTTATGAAGCCAAGTATGATCGTCCGTTGGCGGAGCAAATGTGTAGTGAAACTTCTGGTCATTTTCGGCGTCTACTGACACTCATCGTCACCGGTGTACGCGATGCTGTGGGTAGTGTTGATGCCGCACAAGCGCGCGAAGATGCTGAAGCGCTGTATGCGGCGGGTGAGGCTAAACTCGGTACCGATGAGGAGGTATTCAATCGTATTATGTCACATAGCAGTTTCGCCCAACTGCGGCTCATCTTTGAGGAATACAAACAACTGTCGGGTCAAACTATTGAACAGGCTATCAAGCATGAGATGGATGGCGGTTTGCACGATGCAATGATTGCGATTGGTAAGTGTCAGCAGTTTGGTTGTCTTATTCACCGATGACTCAACTCAATGTTTAATTATCTATTTGCAGTTGAATGCGTACAGGCACCGGCGGCATTTTTTGCTAATCGCATATACCATGCCATGGAAGGTATGGGCACAAATGATGCTGCTCTCATTCGCATAATTGTTAGTCGCTCTGAAATCGATTTGGGTACAATTAAGGATGAGTTCGAACGTATTTACGATCGCACTTTATACAGCGCTGTTGTGGTGAGTAAGCCCGCCCGCAAAAAACGCTAAACTACGCCATTCTGCATTTAGTTTCAGAAAATATCTGATTTTTAAACTCAAAACAACAAGACAAGTACGCTTTTTGAAAATGTGCTCGAAAAGGTTCCGTATAAATTTCAATTGGTTTCAAATATCACACAAATACCAAGTCCCCTGAAGGCTGAATACAAGCAAGACTTTGGTCTGTCTGCGCAATTCACTCGCACTCACAGAAGCTTAAGGAGTTAGATTTAGTTGGGAGCCCTAAAAAGGCAGCGCTTTCAAATGCTCTGATGCATCCTTATAGCTATGAGTGTAACTTCCAAAATAACAGTCGGATCGTCTTGAAATTTTCAGAGTCTTTCCTTGTATACATCTACATTACGAAAATGGAATTAGAAAACTCGATTTTTTGAAAACTTTAACTAGATGTAAGCCCTTAATGATGCGCCCACCCTTGGAAGTACACCTTACCGGCACGTTATGTGCATCTTCCTCTAGGGCCCACTACTTCAGACAACATTTGAGAGCGCTGAAAAGTTTGAGGAAGCCATCCTCCTTTAACATTCCTGTGACCTTAGACTCATATGAGTGTTTACTGTTTTTCGCTTGAGAGTCGGTAAGTTGTTCTCAAACATTTTGACTTTCAGCTTGAGTTTAACTTAGATGCCCACATACACTGTTTGGTTGAAGTGGAAAAGTTTGAAAGCTTCTTCGCTATCGAAGTGCTCTTGTGCCTGTCTCGTGTTGTAAGCTTTCGATAGAGATATTGATAATTATCCCCAATGTTGAGTCTATTCTAAAAAAAAGGAAGTAGAAGAAAGTTGCCAGAGCTGCTGCTGTCCATATGTCTTTTTGGAACGTTGTGTCTATTCCAAAAGTCTACTGATATTTGCTAAGTAAATTTTTGCCCAACAGGGAAGTACCTATCCTTTTCCAGCATATGAAAACTAGATTATTTCTTATACGGATGGGTCAAAACTAGATAACAGAGTTGTTGGCGAAATCGACTCAGAAAGCCCTTCCATCTACGAGAACATTGTAGTATTTTTAAGCGGAGCTGGTGACCATAGACGGAGTTGTCAATTATCTAGGTTTAGTAGTACTCTCAGTAAGCACAAAAAGCTCCGAAATCTCTAACCATAAAATTAGAACTGAAGCAATTAATTTCACTTGGTGCCTAAGTAGTTCTCTCCGAAGCCAGTCATAAACCGCGCAATGAAATAGCAAACAAGCTTAGAGAGAAAATCATTTCCCCTTCCTATTTTGTCATCATGGATAACTCAACTCATTATAAGAAAGTTATTTATAGCTTAGATCCTTATTCAAGATGAAAGTGTCTCAATCGTTACAATGTCACCAAGATAGTGTGGCCGATATGAGATGAAAGAAGTTGGCATGAGCTAACAATTTCTTGCAGGACATACTCTATTGGGCAGGCAGACAGACAGACGTATTACCAATCGACTTCTATATGAGTTGTAAAGAGGAGTAAGGACCTCAAATCTCAAATTAAAGACTTCAGCGAAATGGCACCGCAAAACCAAGTGCTTACCAACTCACGCAGATTGAATTTATAAGTGAGAGCGAGGGAGCTCTTAGGAACCGTAGTGGTATCACAATAGATCCCATTCGCTGATCCAAGAGAAATGTTATTCAACAACCACTATATATGTGTATATAGAGCGCTATGTAAGAGCCGAAGCAATTTTCCGCCGAGCTACTCCGCCAACTTGTGATTTGCCTCTTGATGTTTTTTCAAGTCCCCACCGAACGGTCAATGGATTGTGATGAGTAGCTTTTATTTCATGTCCGAAATTCACACAAGGTGCTTGACATTCCCTACCCATGGGCGAGCGCAAATAGAAATATGAATTCTCTATAATTTTGTATGTGGTTCAAACTAGGCATCGAGGGCACTGCGGCCCAACCGGCTATTGCGACCGTAGCAATAAATCACTGAGAGCTCTGGGTTAAACCAAGGCCATATCAAATCAATTTCACGTTTTCACTCAGCTCATATTCGCTGTCAAGGTGAACAGCTTTTCAGTGGCAATGGTTGCAGCTTAAATCTAGTCCTTTTTATACATTTCATGTATATTAAATTTAGTCCGAAATATGTAAGTACCAGAAGGAAAAGAGGAAAACCCAACAAAGTTTATACCGAACGGATCAGAACTATGAGGTGAAAATCATCGATTCAAACGGTTGTTTAGGTTTTCGGCTCAAATCAACAGACAGTTCTTTTTTCTTGTTTAAATTTACATTGAGCACTGAAGACCAGGAAGGTTTTTTTTTTGGGTATTCGGTGGGATTGGCAATGAATCAACCACTATGAGCTGCTCTCCTACAACCACAAACTCTTAATACGGACTTTTACTGTTGACAATTGGACCGTCTGTGAGAAAGAAGTGCCCCAAAGTGCCCAGCTATGGCCAAGAGTAGAGGGAATTGTGTTTCATCAGGACAACGCCAGGCCATGCACATTAATAGTGATTTGATTGAAGCCTCTATAGTTGGGTTGATAAGTTTTTATGCAGCTGCCTTATAGACCGGACTTCACACCAAGTGCTTACCATCTATTCCTGCCTTTCATTTGGCTGAAGAGGATGTGGTCTAAGGAAAAGCCTTGGTTGTTCGAATTTTGAGCCAAAAGCGACAAGAATTTTTTTAAGACCTCACTTATTTATTAATTAATATTATTTAGCTTCAAAATTACATGCAAATAATTGTCGAGCAGAATAGTGCACATTTGACATAAATCAGAGAATTCTAACTATCTGAAATGAAGCCTTTGGTTTAAAGCAAAAATAATGGATTACTTTTTACTAGTGCAATATATCTTTTTTTTATATTAAAACATTTCAGAACTTTTTTTTAACATAATTTTCTCTTGCGATTTTTTTTTAGTTCAAAGAATTTCTATAAAAAACCTGCATTTTTCTGAAACTAAATGTGTGTAATGTGTGTTGTGATTACATAATTCTGCATCCTGTTGTATGTCCTTTGAATTACCTAAACATTTTTCCTTTCGTTTTTTTCCATATTTTTTAATTATTATGTTATGTGATGATTACATAAACCGTTAATTAGGATGTAAGTATTCGATACAATACAAATAAAACAGAAAATATTGCATTCTTAGAAATAAATGTTTTGTGACTAAATTGAAATCAATTTCATTTATGCGTAACGACAAAATTCTAAATTTCAATATAAAATTTAACGATTTTCGAAAATTGCATGTTCTCTCATTAAAATACTAATTTACAAATTAAAAATAAAATTCGAAAAAAAAAATTTCACAAACATCAAATGAAATCATATATGTATATGTATTACATGCTATTATATAATAATATTTTATTATATAATATATATGTTTATTTATAATCGAAATTTTAAACCAAAATTTTTAATTCATTTAATATTTGCAGTCGGAAACATCTGGTGATTATAAAAATGCCTTAACCGCACTTTTGGGTGGACATTAAGCTTTGCTACAGTTACCGTTAAAAACTCCTCTTACCAACCATAAGGTTAACCCAGGCATATGTTAAAAATAAAATATTATATTTGTTAAGTATATATATGTATGTATGCGTAAAATTAGTTGCTGTTCTTAAAATTTTATTATAAAAACGAAATGTAGAGAAAAAATTTTATTTTTTTTTAAATAATATGGTTATTTTATTTGAGCAAAATAATTGAAAATAAATTAATTTAGTGCTGAAATGTAGAGAAAAAATGTATTTTTAAAACAATATGCATATTTTGTTTTAACAAAATAAGTGAGAATATTTTAACTTAATAATTAACTTTATTTTTTATAAAAAAAAAAGTATGATTATCCAGCAAAAATAAGCGGAATTTATTCATTAAAAAAAATGACCATAAGGAGGCTTATTAAAGTCAATTTACGAAAACATCACTAGTTCTGTTCGTTGAACAGATGGGCAGTAATAATTTTTACCAAAATTTATTATCAGGTGTACAACTTTGCTTCCGCCGTTTTTCGATAGGTGGCTGTACCAGCTGAGGCTGGTTGAAATACATAGATGATAATGCCTTTAAAGTTAGTGTGGACAGTGCCTAACGAATTGTCATCGCCGTTACAATGACAGTTGTTCTTGTTTTCGTATTATTCACGCTCGAAAATTTCCATTTGTGTGCCTAATTCTCGCCATTTGCGGAAAGTTTTACTTTTCTGTTACAATTCGAAAAAAAAAAATGCAGCTGAAGTGCATCGAAAGCTCTCAGAAACTTACGGTGATGCTGCTCTGAGTGAAAGAACGTGTCGGGAGTGGTTTCAAAGTTTTAAAAATGGTGATTTCGATGTCGAAACCAGCACAGGAGATCGCTACCGAACGCAACTGATGCACCTTAGTCGCGCGGTAAAAGAAAAGCGGCCACAATATCAAGAGCGACATGACAAAGTCACCCTCCAACGCGACAATGCTCAGCCTTACGTCGCAAAAGTGGTCAAAAAGTACCTGGAAATGCTGAAATGGGAAGTCTTGCCCCACCCGCCGTATTCCCCAGATGTCGCCTCTTCTGACTTCCACCTATTCCGTTCGATGGCTCACGGCCTAGCAGATCAACATTCTCAATCCTTCGAAGAATTGGTGAAATGGTTTGCTTCATGGATAGCGTCAAAAGAGGATTCCTCCGAACGTCCACCCAGGCACATAAGGGATTACTTGATAAAGCGATTTTGACAAGAGCCACTTGACATGACTGCTTACTGACAGGCTTTAAATGCCATTCACCGAGAGTGCGTCAACACTTTCATGAACTCTCTTTTTGTGAGCCATTCTCACGGAACCCAAGAACCACCAATTGAAGAAGAAGCAGCTGTCTCGAGAGATCCGAATAACTTAGACACAATTAAGATCTGACAATCGTACTCGACTTCCTTTCTACTTACCTAGACTTTACGCCAAGCTACAATACTTCTCTAACATCTCATTCTCTTTGGTCTGAACTCGTTTGTTGTTGTATCGGTTAATTTAGCCCCGCTTAGGAGCAGGCAAGATCAGTCTAAGTCATCGTGGTAATCTAACTGGAAATGTTTCAACGTCTTCGAACCAGAAGGAAAGAGGGGTTACATAAGTTTGTTTTAAGGGGCATGCAATATGTGGCGGCCGCACTACCCGAGTGGTTGGCATTGTAGGGTAGTACCATTCGGAAGGCTCGGGCTCAAATCCCGGTGCCACCAACATCAAAAAGTTATGGAAAATTAATTTAAATAAAAAATTAAGCTAAATTTTCTAACTGCGATCGCCCCTCGGCAGGAAATGTCCACCCCACCGAGTGTATTTCTGACATGAAATAAAAGCTCCTCATAAAAAAAAACCATCAACCGTTCGGAGGTGGAAAAACATCAAGATGCAAAACCACAAATTGGAGGAGGAGGAGTTTGGCCGAAAGTCGTGCCAAATATAAATATATATAAAGAGATTTGTGATACGGACTCTTGTTGTTGTTGTAGCAACCGCAAAAATATTCCCCAAAGATCTCTTTGGGGAATGGTGCGGGAGTGACAGTCCTTGGCCGCATAAAAGTCCGGGTCGTTCCGGTATAAAGACCAAACTGTCGCAAGAACTATTGGGTTTAAGTCGCCTCTTACGACAGGCATTTCGTACCGCGGGTAAATTCTTGAGCCCCTAACCCGTGGGATGGGTTTCGAAACAGTCCGTTTCCTGCATTCCATTGGATAACGAAGTTGATTTATACTAATCTCGCCCGTTGCTTCGCGGCGCAAGCGAGCTCTTGCAAAACAACAACAAAATTAAAGTATTAATATCTGAAATACCATGAATAAGTATTATTATAGACGCTGCACAGCCTGCAGAGCATTGGGTTCATGGCGGAAATGATTACAGTTAAAATATTTCAAAAATTGTGATTTTGTTGACCAGTGTAAGCTAACGTAATTATGAGGAAAAAAACAAAAAATTTCCAAATGTCGAGTTCTCTTTTCATGTGCATTTCACACTTAACAACAATAATAATGTATGCTCTACATCCATACTATGTATATATGTATGTGTACATAAGCACATATGAGATTCCATTCTCAGTGTGAGCGGTCAAGTGAAAGTATCTGACAATCAGTCTGTGTATGACTTTTGAGAAATAAACAAGAGAAAATAAATAAAATAAAAACTTTATCAAAATCCAAACAAATTAATTAATTAAAATTAAAGTATTATAAAACAGCAAATCTACTTAGCACAATGGATTACACAGTGAGTAAATGAAAAGTAATTAACGAATATTAAGTAATTACCACCACTAAAACGCCCTCTCCCATTTCAATTTTTCAATATTTCCAACACTCTAATTAGCCAACTCCTACTGTATTTCCCGCTGCCCCCTTTGACGCCTCTGCTGATGCGCAAGCTTTACGCACCGCCATGAAAGGTTTTGGTACAGATGAAGAGGAAATTATTAACATACTTACTGCCCGCACGAATGCCCAACGACAACAAATCAAAGCGCGATTCGAGGCCGATTTCGGACGCGACTTAATTAAGGATTTAAAAAGTGAATTGGGTGGAAAATTTGAAGATGTAATCGTGGCCTTAATGACACCACCTGTGGAGTATTTATGTAAGCAGTTGCACGATGCCATGGCTGGCATGGGTACCGATGAGGAGACACTTGTCGAAATACTCTGTACAAAAACCAATGAAGAAATGAAGGAAATCGTTGCGGCTTATGAAGCCAAATATGATCGACCGTTGGCGGAGCAAATGTGCAGTGAAACTTCTGGTTTCTTTCGACGCCTGCTAACATTGATTGTTACAGGCGTACGAGATCCCGTGGGCAGCGTTGATGCAGCTAAGGCGCATGAAGAGGCCGAAGCACTATATGCAGCTGGTGAGGGTATGCTGGGCACCGATGAAGCTGTCTTCAATCGCATTATGTCGCACAGCAGCTTTGCTCAATTACGACTTATTTTTGATGAGTATAAACAACTTTCGGGCCAGACTATTGAGCAAGCGATAAAACATGAGATGAGTGGAGCCTTACACGATGCTATGATTGCGATTAGTAAGTGGCAAGTTGTGTATAAACAGCTTATTCATAAAGTATTTTTATATAATTACATATTAATGTTATTGATTCAACTTCACACATGTATTGTATGTATTCATGTATGTATATACTTGCTTTGCAGTTGAATGCGTTCAGTCACCTGCTGCCTTTTTCGCCAATCGTTTATATCATGCCATGCAAGGTATGGGCACAAATGATGACGCTGTAATTCGCATAATTGTCAGTCGTTCTGAAATCGATTTGGGTAATATCAAAGATGAATTTGAGCGGATTTACAATCGTACTTTATACAGTGCTGTTGTGGTAAGAAAATCTGAGCAAACAAAAAAAAAATTAAATAAAAGTTTATCTTATTTTAATTTAAAATTCTTTACAATTTTTGCAGTCCGAAACATCTGGTGATTACAAGAAAGCCTTGACTGCTCTTCTGGGTGGCGCTTAAGTATTTTGCAGTATTTGCTCTTGAATTCTTGTATCAATATATATTTTTAATGGATTTGTGTTGTTATAATAATAATATAGCACATGTGTAGTGAGTACTATTGTACACATGATTTATATGTTTCAACAAAATAAATGTATAAATAAAAAAAAGAAATAAGTTGTGTTTAAACTCTTTTATAGTTGTAAATACCTTAGCAATCTAAACTGATCATTTCAACAGATCTTTTATACTCAGCTTGAGTGCAATTTACCACATTATTCCATATGTTCTTCTTACACCATATATATGTATGTATGTACGTAATTATAAATATTCTTTAAAAAAATATGTACATATGCAACATATAATTTCACTAATATCCGACATCTTCTCCAAATGAATTCACTTAGAAATCAATAAAAGAACAAATATACTTGCCCCAAACTGTCAGTTTTTAAAGATTTACTTTTAAATTATTATATTTTCATATGTATGTTTAAGATAAAAAAACTCTTTAATTGAAATATAATTTATAAGCTTGTTTTGCCTTAATTGGTAAATAGTTCTCAATTTCATTGGGTACTGTGAAAAATGGCGGTGGTACCTGAAAGAAAGCATATATGGAAATTAAAATATTTAAGAAAAAACAATTTTTTGTTTTAATAAACCTACATTCTTCAGCTCATTGTATGTGGCCTCGCGCTTTGTAAACTCCTTGAATATATAATTATTTTCGATCTCATAATGGAAACGTGTATCGTGCATTTTAAGCAGCACATTATCGACGCGTAGGAAATGTCTAAGCAAAATGAAGAAACCCGATGGCATAACACGCTGAAAAGATGAATAAAAATAATGTTGAAATAATTAACATTTAGCGTTGTTTTCAAATGTTATGCTTACAATTTTCACTGAACACGAAGATATGCCATTGTCATGCAACTCATCTTCGAAAAGAGTGAGGTCGTGATAGAATAGTATTTTCTCTCTTTGCATTAATTTAAATTTATTTAACGATAAATCTGACGCCTCTACACGGAATTTCTCATTCAGTGTGCCCTGATAGTCTGTGGTAAACGTCCAATCGAAAGGTTTAAATTTCTCCTCCATATGACAATCAGGTCTGCTTTCTTTCCACTCCTGTGCACAAGCTACTTGTAGCGCCTGCTTGCCATTCTCCACCAAACGTAGAGAATCCATTGGTAAAAACTCTAGCAGAGCGCCATCTTTATGTTTTAATGATAATTTATTTTTATGGAAAACCATATCGGGCAGGTGAGGCAGTTCAAGTGCGTAGCGATATGTGCATAATTCACAGCATTCATCTTCTCCTTTGTTGCAAGTGCCATCTTGACCCTTCTTGCAGATACTTTTAAGTATATGTGATTTGAGGTAGCTTATATGCCAGCCTTGAAAGTCAATAGTTTCGCTGTCAACTGGCAAACGGGGTACCAACTCTTCCTGAAGATATAAAATTTAAATGTTTTTGTAAATTGATAATGCTAATCCTGGCTACTTACCTCCATTGTACGTATGATTTATTATGAGTGCTTTATTGAATTTACGCGTTTTTGTGGCTTTTAATTTTTTATTTCATGTGTATAAATTACTTTAATCACTACCGAAGAGAAGATGCTCATATAAATTTACATTTGTTTTTGTTAATCTGTTGTGCGATGACATTCGTTGGCTGTCCGCAAAGCCGTTAATCTATAGAGTGCCCACATTTAACAGTTGTACATTCTGCAAATAATTTTATGTCAACATTAAAAATTTAAAAAAGGAATTGGCAAATAAAAATTAATTTAGAAACTTAAATATTGTTACCTTAAAAATTGAAATGGTATTGTTGCGAAAATGCGAGGCGAATGTCAGATGAAAGAGAGAAGCCGATAACACAAGAACCTTCCATAGCGAACAATTCGATGCTTCTACGCTTTCGTCTGCGAGCAGCCGACTGCTATATAAAGGCGACACTCAGCTGCAAGTCAAGCAGTGACAAAGCAAATTGGTTGGCGTTAACATCAGTGAAGACGTAAAGTGAACGCGTTGGGAATTACATTTAAGTAGAGGAAATTGTGAAAGTTGATGTTAGTGATTATAAATAGTAAAGTGCAGTATAATTGAATTGTGAATTACTGAGAGAATAAAGGACATTAGATAGAATCTTTATAACGAAAGAAACTGCAAACTAAGTTGGCGAGTTTTTATTTAACAATCCAGAGATCGTACCCGAAGGATCTAGAAAATAATCGAGGTTGATTCAGTAAAATCGTAACAGTATTGAATTATCAGAAGAAATCGAAAGTATAAAATCTATCGATAATAATGCCGACAAACCGTATTAAAATAGCTCCACTACTGGTACACGACAAACAGCTGATTACTTGCCATTGTGAATTCTTGCATTTACCTTCTTCATTGTTTACAAAAAATCTGCGGAAAATAGGTAGCCACCAAAATTTTCAATAATACAGTATTTTTTACATAAATATGAGGCCAAGAGATAATGAAGAGTCTTCAAGTGACTCCGATGATGGAAACGATGAACAAATGCGTCAATTCCTGGAAGCAGCGGATACCACATTGCTTACGAACACAATGTATCAAATGCCCTTAGTGGAGCATAGCGTCGAAGAAAATATAACTGAAAGTCTGGAAAAAGTGGAAGAAATCGTAATAGAGAGAAAAGGTTAATATAAATGAGTTGAAAATTTCGATTGTCTGTTCCTCTACTCATTCAGTATAATTGAATCTAGAATTTAATCATCAACTATTATTTTAAGTCTAATATCTAGTCATAATTTTCTATCGTAGAACAAAAATCTAATCGCTATTTATTGGAGGAAAGTGCTAAAGATACTGCCGAATTTATAGCAACCGATGCAGTAAAAAAGCACGTCGCAAAAAAACTTTCCGAAATAATTGCGCGAAATGTGGAGTTTTTCAATGTTGACACGCCGACAAAATTTCAAAAGCCGGGAAAGAGTCGTATAACATTAATTGCAGGTGCAGATTGTTATGTCAAATCATATGAAGAATTTGAATATGAGACGGAAGGGCCCACGAAGCGGCCTGTTATTAAAAGAAGAAAGATTGATGCAGAAGAAACTGAAACTCCACAAGAACTTATTGCATCAGCCGCTGTAAGTGTTGAGGACGTTACCAGTGGAAGGCTAACAGCAGGTTGGCAGCCAAGGAAAGAGCGAAAAGACAAAGTTTTTTACTACAAATCCGATTCCGTTGGCACTTTACACTCCAAACCTGCTGATAATGAGTTTACCAAACAACGCAAAAAAAATCAGTGGAATGAATCTAAAATAAAGTTAAAAAGAAAAACTACTACGAGTTGACCAAAATAAAATGTCTGTTTATATTATTTTTTTCAAGATGTAATTTCATTTCAATTAGGTATATTTTTTAAGCTATGGCTTAAATGACGACTACAAAACTAATGTGCAGCTATCATATTCTGAGTGTTGCACGGTACTTAGGTCTGCCAGCCCTTCTGGTTTGGGCATGCTTTTCGTGGTATGGAGTTGGACCCATTCATTGGATCAAGGAGACCATGAATGCTGCCTATTACGAGCAAATCATGCAGGAGTTCATGCTCCCATATGCTAACGAAAAAATGCCACTGATTTGGACCTTTCAACTGAACAACGATCCGAAGCATACTAGCAAGCTTACAAAGAAGTGATTTGGAGACAACCGAGTAAATGTTATGGATTAGCCTACACAGTCTCCTGACATTAACCCGATAGAAAATTTGTACGCTGATGTAAAGAAATCGATGTCTGACTGTTATCCTAGAAATAATTTGCAGTTATGGGAATCCATAAAGACTGCTTGGAACTCAATTCCAGTTGAAAAGTGCCAAAATCCGGTGAGCTCAATGCATAAGAATGGTCATGGTAATAATGGTCACACTAAATTAATGTATATAGTTAATTGAAAGGCAATAATAATAATAATAATTTTTTTTTTAGCTTTAATTAGTATTTTAACTACTAAAGAATAAAAATTAAACTGGTTGTGGTAAGCAAGTACATAATATTTTTTTCAACTGAATTTAGTGCTTGTCCGCGCTACTAAGATTATGACCGCAGCTGTATATACATATAAATAGTTTAAGAAATTGTTTTTTCCTAACAAAATGCGTTTCGTACTTAGTATTTTTAACCGTTTCGTTATTTATTAGCTTTATTACTACATGTATCAACATACATTCATACATACGTACAAATATACAAATACGCAGAAAAAATGATTCAAAGCAGGTAGATTAGCAACAATTTTCACAAATTTTTTTTGTCTTTTCGAAGGTGTTTGCAATTTTTTTCTATATATATATATTTTTTTTTGTAGTTTTTATTGCTTTTAGTTTCATTTCATTTTGCTTTTTTAACTTAATACCCTTAATTTGCTTGATTTTCCTTTATTTTGTTTTAGTTTTTATTTATTTTATATTCATTTATTTTTTAATTTTTTTATAATATTTTTTTAATCAATGAATTTTTTTAAATATTTTTCATTACATGGTTTTTGTTTTGTATTATCTTCTGTTGAATTTTACTTTATGTTTTTTTACTTATGGTTTGTTCATTTTTATCTACCTTTTCTTAATATTAATCGATATATTTATTTTATTTTTCTTTTTATTTTACTTTGTATTATTTGATTTTTTTAAACTTTTTTCTTTCGTTGTTTTTTACTTTTTTATTTCCTTTATTTGTCATTTAATTTCGTTTATTTTTCAATTTATTTCATTTTGTTCTATTTAATGCTGTTGCATATTTTAATATATTTTTTACGATTTCATTTTTTTTTTACTATTTTATTTTGTTTTAATTAAGTTTATTAATTTTTTATTTGTTTCAGTCCATTTGAATTTATGTGTGTAAGTTAATTCCATTTATTTTTTGTTTTTTTTTAATAAAAATGTTTAGAATTTTGTTTTATTTATTATAATTATTATTCTATTTCATTTAATAAAATTAAACTATCGCTTAGTCTTATTTTTATTCTATTAAAACTCATTTTAATTTAATTTTTTATTTTATTTTATATTTTACTGTTTATTATACAAAACTTTAACTTAATTTAGGTTATTTTTTTAATTAAACTCAATTTTATTTTATTTAAATAATTTTTTATTTAATTCTTCGATTTTATACCACCCTATCTGATCTTATTTAGTTTTACTATTTTTAATAAAGTTTTATTTTTATTTTTCATGTTATTTTACTTTATATATATATATTAACATTTATATTTATTTATATTATATCTGATTTTATTTTATTTAAATGTCTGTTTTTTTTAATTTAACTTTTTTTAATAATGTGTTTTATTCCACTTTTGATAAAAAATCTTAATTTTATTTTTTGTTATTTTAAATTCGTCTTCGTTTTAAATTTATATTTACTTATATTTTTAAATAACTTTTCGCTATTTTTCTTTTTATTAACATATCTGTATTTCATTTTTTTCAATTTTTTTTTTTAATTTTTAACGTGATAGGTAGGAATTTAACTTGCTAAGTTGTGCCAGCGTCACGCGTGTCTTGCACGTTGTCTGCGTTACGTGATGGGTTGTCTCCGAGCACGCCATTCACGGAAAGGGAGTCCCTGAAGATGTTCAGTGCTTGTCTGTACGCCGTCCTGTCCAGCGGTTGTTGCACATCTTGCTGGATTGTGTCCTTCAAATCTAGTACTCAATTTCTGATGTACCTAAGTGGAGGTTCAGCTTCTATTAGGTGCCTATTGGGGTGCTCCCTGCAGTAACATTCCAATAGGAACTGCTTGCACAGCAAAGCCTTATGCTCCTTAACTCGTAGCATAAATGCTTTACTGTGCATTTCATTCCGGTTAGTCCACTGTCGAAACTCCTAATACGAACGCATTTTGCCCATCTTTCACCGGGGCCGTATGTGAAAGACTTTTCGTGAAATTGGTGATCATTGCTGATATTTGCGGTGGTAGATTCCCGTATTATGGAACAGCTGCGGCAACATTGCTTTCACGTGGGGTGCGCAAGAGAAGTGGCGGCAGCCAATAGAAGGTTCCAATCAATCGCATATCACTGCAATATTTTCGAACCTGACACGTGGAATAGAGAGTGTGAACTCGCACATCGCAGTTGCAGTTGAAAGTCATGCCGTGTTGTGATAGAATTTATTAATTCACATTCCGCGTGCTACGTAAACTTGGATGGGAAAAAGAAATTACTGTGGATTGAAGTTTTATTAATTTCCCTTTTATTTATGAATAAAAATATTTTTTAGTTTACATATTGTCTTTATTTATTCAAATGAAAGCAAAGCTTCAGGCACTGTAAAGCAAGAGTATGCACCATCTTTAAGTAGACCAGCCTTTTCCATCCACCGATCGCTCTCCTCGTCATAAGCATAAAAACAGTTTTTTTGGTGCATTAAACCATTCGCCCATAGCCCATAATTTATTGTTTAAGGAAAAGCAAGTAAGTTTTTCATTATTGGTAGGTAAAGAGCAGATCTGTAAATAATTTGTCAAGTTTTTCTATGAAATCGGAAACATTTATCGAAAAAAGGTATGACGTTATCGATTCTCTAACTTAAGTGCGGCATACCACATTCAAAGTTCACGTGACAGCAAAAAAATATACTCCTTTTCTTAACCATGAACTTAAGCGTTTTTTTATATGGAGTTTGCTCATTACTGGAAATACTTAATGTTACAAAAAGTGTTTGGCGCTTTTATATGAATATCCTACTCCTACTAGACTGTAAATAATTCATTTCAATACACTGTGCCTTACGTGCTTTTATTATTATATGTATGTATTTTATATTATTTACATAAGTACTTAAGTACATATATACGAGCATAATTTATTAAGAAAAAAATTTAAATTCCTTTCATACTATTTACATACATATAATATGTATGTATGTATGTATGCACGTAACTTCAAAATCAGGGCCTACCACGCATATAGAGCGGTCGCAACGCCTCATTCGGTCCAGGTATATATTCATTCATATTCAGTGTCATCATTGTGCCCGGAAAGTGTTTACCTTTCACTTCGCGATTTATACGATAACTACTTCGATATGGTTGTATAGCATTCGCATATGTATGTAGACCATATGGTGATGTCGCACCATTCGATATATCAATTAATGTAGCTGTTGGTGGGGCATTTTGTTGATGTTGATGTTGGTGTTGGTGTTGCTGTTGAATAGTGACAGCACTGTTAATTGGTTCCGATGCCAGTATGGCTGGTGCACGTACACCATACTCCAATGGTCCACCATTAATGGCCGCTGCCAATGGCGGATGTAAGGCATGAGGAGCGGCATTGATGGTGTTGTGGGTCGCTGTTGTTGGACCATTACCATTCAAAAACGGACTTATCGGCACAATCAGCGGACGCGTTGGTATTAATTGTAAATAATGTACACCATTTTCGGGAATTGTATGTGGTAGATATTGCATTAGAACCGGCGTTGGTTGTGGTACATTATTGCTATTGGTCATCATATTATTGGCATTTGTGGCAGCAATTGTTGTTAACGGTGTAGCATTCGGTATTTGATTATTGACACTGCCATACGTTTGTATTGGCTTAAAATTATTCTCAACTTCGGGTAATTTATATGATGGCTTAAAGTTATTCACATTCATATTGATATTCCCATTGTTATTGCCATTGATATTGCTGTTGGTGGGGCTGATGTTCGGATTGGCCTGGACGGTTTGTGCGGCATTATTGGCGAATTGTGATGTGAAATGATCATAGTTGGTCGCGTATGCATTGAGCGAATTCAGTTGTGCATCTTGTGGACTCGGCTTGATCACCAAAGTCGCTGTGGCTGTTGAACCGGCAGCATTTTTTCCAGATTTACTCACAATTTCGGGTAATGAAACTGGATTGGTGCTTGCCAATGGTGTAATGTGTAAGATTACAAGTGAAAGCAGTAAAATGTTAGCTCTACGAAGTGAATGTGAAACTGCGATAATGACGTCATTAGGTTGCATCTAGAATTGGGCATGTTGGAAAAGGATTCATGAATAAATTGCAAAACAATTAATCAAAATGAGGCCGGATATTGTTAATATAATAATTTTAGTTATACATATGATTTTGCACTAAATTTGAGCGATTTTTTGTCTAACGAATGTTTTTACGATAAAAAGTGATCGTCGTTCCAGGATTTCAATTTTCCCATAACATTTGATCGATATTACGCTTATTTTATTTTTGTTTTTTTTTTCGATCAAAAAGTCACTAATTTTTTGATTTTTGAGTAGCGACGGAGTTTAGGGAGCACATTTATGTATCATACATAATAATGTAAATATTTTATAAAGTAATATCGTAAATTGGTGCTGTGGGAATTGTGCTGACGCGCGGTAGTCGCTCGAATATTTATGTAAATTTGACGTATAGACATACATATATATTATAATATATGTACATACGCATAGATAATCACTTTAAACTTGTATTTAATCGCTTTTCGGCATCGCTTACTTTTTTTTTAATAATTTTATGCACAAGTGCCCTTTCGCTGGACAGCAACTTTACGATTTGAATAATTTTAATGTTATTTTTAAATTATAGTACTCGTTTTTAGGTTAATTTTTAAAGTTTTAACATATAACTTTTCCTCTTAAATGCGCTAAATAACACTACCCACGACCTCCATGGCTTATGTACCAGCGTCAGCCAAGTGATGCCTGGCTTTTATAAGCCAACCATAATTTTTTATCACAATCTTGTGCGGAAAATGCGTGTGTATGTGCATATGCAGTTATGCATGTACATATATATACATATATATAAACTAACTTGATTTCCAAAAATAAAATGAAATAAAAAACAAGAAAAAACATAAAAATAAATAAAATTTCCAATATTTTTTAGTTTTCCACATTTTTCCATTTTCCTGATCGCAAGCAAGAAAATTTAACTTCGCTGGTATGTGTGCATGCAGCCGGAGCATTCAAGCTCTAAGATATATACATCCATGTATATAAACGTGTAATTATTTATTTATGATTGTATGCATCTAATGTAAGCGAAAACCGGTTCATTTCATGGCCAATGTCAACTGCAAGAGACTAACAAAAATCCAGGAAATCAAGATGAAAATGCAGCAAATGAAAATAAAATAAACGAAATAAAATACAATAAAAAAAAACACTATAGAATAAAACAAAACGCGACCACAATAGCCGAGTGGTTAGCATTGCTATTCGGAAGGCTCGGGTTCAAATCCTGGTGTCGTACTAACAATATAAAAGTTGTAGAAAATTAATTTAAAATAAATAATTCAGTTAAATTTTCTAATAGCGCTCGCTCTTCGGACGCAAAACTACAAATCGGAGGAGGAGCCCGGCCGAAATTCGCTTCGGCGGTTACAAAGCGCCAATTATATATTGTAATATAAAATAAAATACAATAAATTAAATTAAAGTTATTAAATGAAATAAAAAAATAAAATTAATTACATTCAATCAAATAAAATAAAATGAAGTAAAATAACTTAAAATACAACAAAAAAAAATTAATTAAAACTAATTAAATTAAATCAAATCAACTAAAATAAAATAAAATAAATCACAATAAAAAAGTGAAAAACAAATAATTCAAACTAATTTAATTAAATCAATTTAAATAAAATAAAATTTAAAAATAGTAAAATACAATTTAAACAAAAAATAAAAAAACCAATAAAACGAAATTCAAAATGAAGCAAAATAAAATAAATTAAAGTAAAATAAAAAGGTGGAATTAAAATTAATTATATAATATAAAATAAAACAAAAAAAAAATAACAAAAAATAAATAAAAAAAAATTAAACAAATTAAAGTAACATAAATTCAACCAAATAAAATAAATTAAATAAAAATAAATATTAAAATAATATAAAAGAAAATAAAATAAATTAAATTAAACAAACTAAAAATTAAAATAAATACAAAAAAACCAAAATGAATTAAAAAAGATAATCTTAAATCAAAATTACTAAAATAAAAAAGTAAAATAAAATAAAAAAAATCATTTATATTAAATTATTTATAATAAAACAAAGAAGAAATAAAATAAAATAAACTACAACAAAATAAAATCAAATAGATTAAAATAAAAAAATAGAATAAAATAAAAAAATAGAATAAAATAAAATAAAACAGAATAAAATAAAATAAAAAATAAATAAAATAAAATAAAATAAAATAAAATAAAATAAAATAAAATAAAATAAAATAAAATAAAATAAATTAAATAAAAAATAAAAATAAAGTAAATTTAAAAAATTAAATAAAGTAAATTACAAAAACAAAAATTGAAGAAAACAAAAAATTCAAATGGGAAAACTAAAAACGAACAATATCTAAAATTTAGTCTATTTTAGTAAATCGTATAGAAAACATTTATTTGCTTCCCGATCTATTAAATTTAGCATTCAACGTTGCAGGTTCAACGATCGTCGTACAATGCACCGGCAAGCGAATGCTGCGGCAGTTGGTTGAATATTTGGCTTGCGTTTATACAAACACACATACAGACGTGTGTATATAATAACCCATAAAAGTATAATCATTTGTCTAATGTGTATGTTTGTTTTGTTTCTGCCGTGGCCTCTTACTAATGTTAAGCGCGTTGTTTGTTGCATGCCACATTTTGTTATTGCTTTACAATTAGATGCATGCGTACATACATATGTATGTACGTTGTTTGTTTAACTACCTGTCTATCTGGTTCATAGATGACTAGTTTTGTTATTGTACGTGACAAACTGTGCTTGTGTTTGTAATTTTCTTTTACTTTCGCTTTCATTTACGTTTTTTTGTGCCATTAAATTGGAGTTGAAACGTGCGTATTTATATATGTAGATATATATATAATATATATATATATATATAACAAATCCGAAGTTTTATTACTAAACGTCAATGGGCATACATACATATGTGTAAAATATAACAGCCTAAAAGTATACTTAAAAAGCTTTAAGCTCGGCAGCAAAAATACTTTATTGTTTTATTTATTTAATTTTTTAAATATTATATAATATGTACATACATACATATAACGAATATGGAAAATATATATGAAAAGACGTGTGCAGAATGAGTTAGAAGGTGCAAATATATACATTCATATGTAATCCGGCAATTTTACTATGTGCTGAATGCGCTGAATATGCCGAAAACTCAAAAATGTGTATGATATTAGACTTAAGACATTTACAAATATGTTAAAATATCTAAAATTTGTTAAAAAAAAATCTAAGTACTTAATACAAATACACCACAGTACTAAAATTGTTTTGTCATATAATAAACATCTAAAAAATGTGTGCTGAATACTTGCATGCTAAGCTGAATTTGCTGAATGCGTTGAAATAAGTCAATTTTATAATTTTCTGGTCATGATTTGCTTAGAACTCTAAAGTTAATTTTTTTTTATTAAAAAAGCCTGCTGAATGAACTAAATAGTTTTTCTTTAACAGCGCGTTTATATTTGAGTGTTGAGTTTTTTTAGTGCTAAATTTATGTCGCCATTGTTTAAGATGCATTTACATTAAAATCTTCAAAACCACATTTGCAGAATGCAGAATGTGTACATAGTACACAGTTTCATGGTATATGCAAAGTGTGCAAACTTAAAAAATTAAATCTGCTGAATAACTTATTTTTTTTATTATAAAAGAGGCGCTGAATATGTTGAAACTTATTAAACAAATAATTATTATTTACCCAGCAATATATGCTTAATACATTCAGTTGAATGATATATTTTTATGATGTAAAAGTTTTGAAAATTTCATAATTGTGTTTGCTGAATTAGGTTTTATGACATTGAACTGAGCTGAATAAGCTAAGGAACATTAATATGCGTACTTCAATGCGCTGAACAGGTACTGCTTACTCTGTACTACGTGCTGAATATGAATTAGATGCGCTGAATGAGCTGAAATAAGCTCGCACGAGTTGTCTATTTTTCGCAAAAGCAATTTAGGTTATGTATCAATTCAAGATGCTAACTTTGTTTGTTTAAAGTAATTTTTTATATTATTAATATTTTTTAAATGGATTTGCGGCTGTCAAATTGCCTTACGTGGCTTTAACTGCTAAACTTCATTCATAAGAAAATTTTTATTTCTAGTTTTAATTTTGCTCGCATATCTTTTTTAGTTTTTTTGTTTGTTTTATTTTGTATTATATATTTTCTTTTGATTTTTTTTTTGGATCGCTTTGTTGGCCACTTTGTTTTGTTTTTCGCTAAACGTACGTTTTGATATTTTTCTTTTGTTGCTTTCATTGTCTTTTCTTTTCTTTTATGCTTTTGCGTTTTTTTTTTTCATTTATTTTCATTACTTTTTTATGCCCCAGCGCCGACATTCACTTTCGAAAGCAATTGAGTGGCTCAGCGAAATGATGTAAAGCACTTGCTAAGGTCGCCTCTTCACTGTGATTTGGCGCAGCGCCGGCGCCGGTGTAAGCGTGTATGTTAATTTGTTGCAGGCAACGGAAGTGCTCTGTTGGGCATGACGTCATTCATTTGCGTCAAATTTAACACTTTAAATGTTACTAATTTCATTTGCAATTGTACAATTTGCATTTGAATAAAATTTTTGTACAAAATTGCAGTTTTTGTGTTAAGGTCGGTATACGAGATTAAATACAAAAACAAAAATTATATAAGGAAAAAATTAAAACATTAAAAAAGTAAAAATAATTAAAGATAATAAAAATAAAATAAAGAAATTTAAAATATAAAATAGAAATCAAAAGAATAAAAATAATTAAAAAAAAAGATTAAAAATAACAATTTAAAAAAAGAAGATAAAAATGAGAAATAAATAAAAAAACTTAAAAAAAAAATAAAAATGCCAAAAATTTAAAAGGTTAAAAATAAAATAAACATATAAAAATATAATAAAAAAAAATTAAATTAATAAAAAAAAAATATATTGAAGAAACAGAAAAAGGAAATTTGATAAATTAAAATTAAATAAAATCAAAAACTAAAAATAAAAAGAATAAAAATGCTAATATAATTAAATTAAATAATCATAATTAAGAAATAAATAAAAAGATTTGATATAATAAAAACAAAATAAAGAATTTTAAGAAACAAAAATATTAAAAAACAGAAAAAGGAAATTATAAAATAATAAAAAAAATCAAAACGAAAGGAATAAAAATGTTGGGAAATAGAAAAAAATTAAATTAAGTAAACATAGTAAAGAAATAAATAAAAAGATTTTAAACAATAAAAACAAAATAAAAAAATTTAAAAATAAAAAAAAACAAAAATAAAAAAATAAATGGTGAAAAATTTAAAAAGTTAAAATGAAATAAACATATTTAAGTATTAATTAAAAAATGAATAAATTGAAAAAAACAGAAAAAGGAAATTCACAAAATAAATAAAAAAAACAAATTAAAAATAAAAAGAATAAAAATGTTAAGATATAGAAAAAATTTAAATTAAATAAACCTAATTAAGAAATAAATAAAAAGATTTAATTTAATAACATCAAAATAAAAAAATTTATGAAATCAAAGTACTGAAAAAACAGAAAAATGAAACTGATAAAATATTCGAGAAAATTAAAAACTTAAAATTTAAAATGAAATAAATAAAAATGTTATGAAATAGAAAAAATTTAAATTAAATAAACATAGTAAAGAAATAAATAAAAGGATTTCAAACAATAAAAACAAAATAAAAAAATTTTAAAAATAAAATGAACAAAAATGGCAAATCAAAATGGTAAAATAATTAAAAAAGAAAACAAATTTAAAGGCGAAAAAAATTATAAAAAAATTAATTCATAAAGACATTAAAAAAAAAAAAACAAATTAATGAAATTTATTAAAAAAATAAAAATATTAAAAAAAATAGTTATAGAAAAAATAAAATAAAAATTCAAAAATAAAAATTAAAAAAATAAAAAAGTATAACAATTTTTTCCGTTCGGCGCTGCTAAAAATATTACTTGCATATTACATAGTTTCTGAATTACAGCTATTTTCGTTTACGCTGACTCTTTACAACAACAAATCTGATATCTTTTATTCGGCTCAAAATAAAATGCAATTATAAGCAATATTTTCTTCACGTCAAAACAAGGAACAATGTATATACATATTAAAATACAAAAACAAAAAAATATCGTTTATGCGGCAACAGGTGCCAATGACAGTGAAATGTTTGGTAGACAAAGGAAATTTAAAAAAAAAAATCCACCAAAAAGCACACATTCATACAGTGAACGAGTTTGAACATTTAACGGTCGATTAGTAAGCGAAAATTAAAAAAAAAAAAACACAAAAAATAGCACATAATCAAAGCAATGTAAAGGAAAAGTGGCAAAAGTTGTAAATGAGAAAACAAATTACGACAACAATAAAACGCAAATTATATTAAGCAATACAAATTTCCTTATGTAGCGATATTACATAGTAATTAGTTGAATATGTATGTTGATGAAACTGAATATGTATGTTAAAAAAAATTAAATACAACTAAAAAACTTATCAAAATTAATAAAAAATATTCAGCATGTAAAAAATTATATATCTCTAAAAATTTGACTGTGAATAATTCAGAAAAATGCTTTTCTATCGCTTAAAATAAATTTTGTTGCTGAATAAAGTTTGTTGCAGCTAAATCGGGCTGAATTTAGCGAATAATTAACAGTTTGCATTTAAAATAAATTGTTTCGCACACTAAACTGTCGTATAATTCATATTCTTAATGGCGCTGAAGTGCATTGAGTCGATGGCAATTGCGCTGAATAAGTTTTGCCAGCTCTTTCTTTCGGAATCTCGAACCAAAGTGCTAAAAAACAATGTGTAGTACGTAATTTGACCACAAGTAAGTGAGAATTATGTTTTTAAAGTGCTTCGAAAAGTGCTGATAAAATTAAATGTAGCTGAGTAGTGCTGAATTAGCAACTAGTATCATTATTAAACTGCTCCTTGCATAAACTTATTCTTTAACATGGATATGGCATGTACTGAAATGTATTGTGTCAATTTCCATTGCGCTGAATATAGTAAACAAGCCATATTTTGAAACTTGAATCATAATTTAATAACATGTAAGTCAGAAACTTGCATTTAAAGTGCATCGAGACGTGCGGATTAAAATTAAATGGAGCTGAATTGCGTTGAATTTGAGACTTAACCAAAATTAACGCCATATTTTGCAATCTGCATTATAACTAAATTGATTGTTGCATGAAATTATTATATAATTTACATGTTGAATTGCGTTAAAATGTTTTGCCATCAACTTAAATTGCGCTGAATAAGGTATACAAGCTATTTTTCGCATCTCCAAGCAAGCGTTTGGTGTTAATTTTTAAATACAATTTCTTTTTTTAAGAAATAAATAAATAAATTTGGTTTGTGCTTTATACCTCAATTAGTTTTTTTTTGTAATTATTTGGTGATATTTAAAGTAATACTGCTGAAAATAAGTCAGCACATCATTTTCAAATAGATTTAATGTGATAACTGCGCTGAATTTCAGGAAAAGTATTGTCTTTTCATAGAATTCTTTACGAATTCACATTGAAATGCCGCTAAATAATATTCAGCGCATAATTTTGGCTTCCAAAAATTGCGCTTTTGAAATATTCAGTCAATTTTATAAATTAAAATTATTATTCATTTGAATTATAATTAAATTAATTAGATTTGTGATAAATACATAATAATAACAACAAAATAAATTAAAATTTCGCAACATAAAAGCTTGGCGTTGTAAATATTTTTATTTTTAAAAAAATAAATAGGCGCTGAATCAACGCTAAATGCAATTTAGCTGAGCTGAATGAGTTTACTGGGATGTGGATTAAATGGTACTAGCGTTTTTGTATATTCAATTGGCGCTGAAAATAATTAAGCTGCCCTTATTAAAAAAAAAAAAATTTTTGAATGAAAAATTATTTAATTATAATAATATTTATTAATATTATTAATTTCATGTATGTAATAAGGTTAGAAAATTTTAGTGGTGCACACTTTTTATAAATATATTTTAAATGATACGAAAATGCTCTTCAAAGTTGAGCTGAATGTTTGCTGATTACACTTCAACGCAATTGAAATCTATTAACTGAGCCATATGTAATGAAAATTACGGTTTTTTTTCATTTTTCTTTCCCTTAGATCCAATTACGGTTGCACACTTCGCTACGACACCAAGCCAGTGCACAAATCTTGGCAGCAGCGCCAATTAAGTATAAGACCAACTGCCATCAATGCCATAGGAAGCCAAGAGGAAAAACTTTAGCTGAATCAAGGTTAGTGACTTGAAATTTATTTTTTAACAAATACGCAAATCGCTGTCATGGAAAATAATCCGTTTGAAAAAGTATTTACATATGTATGTATGCAGCATAATTTTTGTAAATTTTTCAATGTTTTACACTTTAATGTGCTTTTCGGTAATAAATTTAATTTGTTTCTTTCTTTTTTAATTACTTTTTCACCTTCACCGATGATGCTTGCCAATTTGGCAGCTTAATCACTTATATGCATGGATGTATGTATGTAGATACATACGTACAGATGTACATAAATAAACAGTGACAGAAATGCGAAATTTCGTATGCATCAATTGACGCTTTCGCAAGCTAGACTTTCAATTTCATTTGAAGGCATCATTAAAATGGTAGTGCTGTCGTTGAAGCGTTGGTTTGATTTTGAATTTCGAAAACATATTTCGAATTGTTCGAAGTGTGTGAGACATGGTGAAAATTTTAAAATTCTTACTAGCGCTCACAATGTATTTGCTTATACCCTCATATGGGATGAATAAAAGTTATAAAAATGACAATAATTAGATAAGTACTCGTTAAGCTTGTGTAATTGAATATAAAACGGCGGGTAATTTGCAACGTAATCCCAAAAATGGGGTTAAGGACTTAGTGTTTGGCATAAAAAATTTGTTTGATGAGGTAAAAGATATTGTTTAATAATATCAAAAAAAAATTCTACAAAATAAATTTCTTTTATTATATTCAGCGCGATATTTTTAACTTTGAAGTTATATAAAATACACTTCTCGTTTACGTTGTGGTCTTTATACATTTCATGACGAATTCAGCGCTGAATTAGTTAATTCAGCACAGTGTTTTCTGCTTTAAATTGCCTAGCATTCATTTAACGTTTGCTTAAATGGTGATACTTTTTTCCTACTGAATTCAGCTAATTGACTTAATTTAATCACTTTTCTTAAAACGATTTGTTTAATTATTTTATTTTATTTTATTTTATTATATTATTTTCTTTAACTTAAAATACATGTTTTTTTTCAATTTTTATGCGCATTATTCATATACATATAACATTCAGCACATTAAATAAAAAATAAAAGAATATTTTTCAAATTAAACTATCATTTGTTTGCGCTTAATATGCAATGCAGCGGTTATTCAGCTGAAGAAAAGGGCGGTGTATCGTTAATTAACAAATTTTTTTAAAGTCGCTGTGCATCGTTTCGATTTTTAAATAATATTCAGCGCATATTAAGCTGAATAATATGTGTCCTAAGAATATGTGTAATAAGTATTTCAACGCATGTTTAGGTAATTTAATTAATAATTTGTATATAAAAATATTTTTGAATAAACTGTTCGCAGCTTTTAGTTTAAGATGTAATTCAGCGCATTATGAGCTAAAGCTAAAGCAGAATACAGCATTTTTGATATTATTTTACAAATATTTCCCGTTTATTTTACGATTTTGTGTAATTCAGCGCATTTTCAGCTAAAAATTTGGTAAATATAAACGTAACTAGTACATTTTTAAAGTTATTTACGCACGATTTACAATTCAGCGCATACTTCGCCGTATATTAAGTGAAAATTCGACGCTACTTACAATTATTTTTTCAGTCAGCTATTGTTTGTTGCGAGTTTTGTCTAATTCAGCTGATAATTAAGTCAAAATAGTGAAGTATTGACATAGGTTCGAAGTAAATTTTTACATAAATTTCCACGCATAGCCTAATTCAGCTTACTTTCAGCAACAGATGTTGTAAATATTGGAATACCTAGCTTTGTTGTAATTAAATATTCTTTTTTTTTTGCCAAATTTACAATTCAGCGCTTATTCAGCTCAAATCTAAGTGAATATTTGCGTGCATAAAAGTATTCATTGATTGTAAATGTTATCAATTAGTATTTAAATGCAATTCAGCGCATATTCAGCTGAAAATATTTGCAATATTATAGACTTTATAACTTGCTTTCCATATTTATCAGTGAAATATTAAAAAAAGACGTATTTAGTTAATCTATTTATTTACATACATGAATGTACAGTAAAAGTAAAGTTTAGAGGCTGTCAATAAATAAGAAGCAGCGAGTAATAAATGCATTTTGTGAAGATGTGCCTGAACAAGTATCATGCTGCTCAGTGCTGATGAGGCGGCAAGTAGGCGCCGCCTGGCGTCGAAATTGGCGGTAAATAGCCAGAGTCCGGTTCATTAACATGTGCTGAAGCGCTGCCCGTTGCGGTAGCGCCACTATGTAGAATCGCCTGCGTTTGATACTCGTAGCCGGGTGAGGTGGGTGGTAGGTATTGACTGCCCGGTGCCGATACTTCATAGGTGGTGCCCAAAAGTGTGGATGGCTTAAATGGTGCTCTACTACTGTGATCGCCATGGCTCGAGCTGCTCGAAGAGATGAAATTCGTATTCAAAGCATGCGGTTTGCTGGCGCTAAAACCAAAATGACCTAATCCCTTATGACCCACTGCATAGGCGGGTGTTTCGTCGCCGGCACCACTGTGGAACGAATGACCTGCGCTAACACCAGCACCTTGATGATACGTGGTGACGGCAGGACCTGCAGGTACGCCATAGCTGGTCGATGGTATGCTTGGCGGTGCGCTATGTGCGTACTCGGCGCCACTATGACTGCCTTGACTGGTGAATGATAGCGTGGTGCCAACGTTGCCGCCATGATTACTACCGCTATAACTGTAGCCTTGTTGTGGATTGTAGGACACCGAGTTGCTGCCACCATGTGTACCAAGACTGCCACCGGAGTGTCCACCGAATGATGCGCCACCAAAACCGATGTTATGCGCACTACCAAATCCACCAACGCCGGCTGTTGAATGCAATGTGCTGCCGAAGGAGGGCGTATACTGATATCCAGCACCACTACTGCCGGTACCACCAAAATGTGTAGCATGATGACCAGCGCTACTACCACCACCCGAACTATGTGCCAATGAGCTCGCCGGTACGATGAAGGTTTGTATGTGGGGACGCGCTTTGGTGTAGTGTTTGTAGTTGCCGCCTCCACTGTGACTGCTGTGACCCAAAAGCGTTGAGCCACCTGCAGAGAAGTGTGGGCCGCCATTGCTGTAACGGTAGCCGCTACCACCTGCACTACCAGAACTTACACCTTGAACTCCACCAAAATGATTGCTGCTGCTGCTGCTGCCGCTGCCGCTATATGACGCGCTGCCATGACTTGCATGTCCACTGTATGCTGGCTCAGTCTGTACAATATAAGTTTCAATTTTTGGAGCACCAGCTCCGAGGTCATAACCTAAGCCCGCGCTAGAGCTCGACCCAAAGCCGGCCAAACTACTGCTGCCATGGCTGCTGTAACTGTTGTAGCTGTTAGCGACTGGCGCTGGCGGCAAATACTTATAAGATGGTCCGTGATAACCGCTACTGGAGAGTGGAGCTTCACGCTTTGGTTTTACCGGTACACTAATGCGTGACTCCGCTTTGGGCGTTGAGCTGGCGCAGATGTGAGCTGTGAGTAGCAGCAACGCTGCGCCGTAGAACATCTAAGGAGAGAACAAAGTTTTTATTTAATTATTCTTCTTTTTTACTTAGATTATCTTTTTTTCATTTATTTTTGCTTTTAAATTAACTTCAACCTTTTTTTATTTACATAGTAAAATTTATTTTATTTTATTATTAATTTTTCTAATTTTAATATAATTTCTTTTATTTTTTAATATTTTATTTTACTTTATTTTAATTTATTTTAATTCTTTAATTTTATTTAATTTAATTTGATTTAATTTTTTCAATCTATTTTAATTAAAAATTTTTAATTTTTTCAATCTATTTTATTTGTTTTATATTTAAATTAATATTAATTTAGTTTTAGCTTGATTTTTATTTATTATCATTATTATTACTTGTTAATTTTAAAATGTTAAGCGCTGGTAATAATAATAGTATTAAAAAATATAATAAATTAAATATACATAAATGAAAAATAATTAAATTTATTATTACTTTCATTTAATTTAATATAATTAATTTAATTTTGATTTATTTCATTTCGTATCATTTAATTAAATTTAAATTTTTTATTTGATTTTTTTAATCATTTTAATTTTAAATTTATTTGACTAATTTTCATATTTTTACCTAACTAGATATATTATTATTTTGATTAATTTCTAATTTTTCTGTAGCATATTCCAATGAAAATTGTTCAACAATTTTTACTTCACACAAATTTTCACTTAACCAATGATTTTTTTTGTTTCATCTTCGTATTTAATTCTGTTCACCTCATTTAGAATTTGAATATATTTGCACTAACATAATTTCACTTACAAATAAATTCATCACTTTGCAATTATTTTTGTCTCAATTTCCCGTTACTGTCTCTTTTCGTATCCTTTCTTATCCTTTGCTGCCTCGCTTTTCTTGTTAACTATTTATTCGCGTGCTAGCCAACCGTACACCACTTCGTCAAGTGCAATACTAACGATAACACCATTACTGCCGTTAGTTTTTATACTAGCCACACTTTGTTGGGCTAGTGCAATAGCGGGTGCCACGTTGTATGAGTAACCAAGGAAGGGGCTGGTTAGCTTATATGCATATGTGTGGGTATGTGAGTGTGGCATATTTTCATACGGTATAGACTTAGATCGGGTAATCGGCTATACATATGTAGTTATCAGTTAACTGTTTTATCGTTTGTGTGTATGTGCGTGTTTTCTCTCTCGCTCACTCGTTTTGAGTTTTATTTTGTGTATGAATTTGATGATGAGCAAGTGATATTTGATGTAGTAAAACTATTGCGCATAGTTGTTGTTGGAAACTCCCTATTGACCTCATTCCGTTTTTTGTTGATTTGTCTTAATTAAATCTATTTTAGTTGCTGCTCTGATTCATTGCTATGTTTTCTAGAGTTTCCAATTTTACATTTGTATTTATTTTTATTTTACTTTTCTATTTGTTTACTTTCTTTATTTAATTTTTTAATTTTAAACTATTTATTTTATTTTATTTTATTGTATTATATTTTATTTTATTTTATTTTATTTTATTTTATTATATTTTGTTTATAATTATTTGAATTCATTTCATTTTATTTTATTAACTTATTGCCAAAGTAAGTCCCCAAAAAGTCGGCTAAAAATCACAGCAAAGTAACAACAATCAACTTTAATAACTCCAACTGCCTTTCAGTTAAACGCCAGCTTGCTGCAAATTACATTACACGCATACTTAAAAACAGATGCAGCAAGATTTAATGAAAAAAGCAACAGAGATAATAACATTTGTAATAGAAATAACAACAAGGCAACCCATCGCGTCGGGGCATTTCGAACGAAAGACTTAAGACACAAGCTCGCTCACTTATCCGCATGCGGCCGGCATTTAAATGATTGAATTGTTATGAGGTAACCGCTGCTGAAGAGGATGTAGTAATGTGTGTGAATGTATATATGTATGCGGCAAGCACAAATGAAACCAAAACAAAACCACAAACGATCAATGCGAGATATGGTTACGTATGTATGTGTGTATGTGTGTATGTGGATTCATTTAAATAATAACAAAAGAATAAAAAAGTGAAATAGTCTTATATGAAAAACGCATGTACACCGGTGCGTGTGTGTGTGTGTTTTACATTTATGACTTTTAATAAGCGGAATTTAACACTTTTTTCCTTTGTTTATGCGCCACCGCAAATAAATGGGTTTTCGGTTTAGGGAGGGCGCCTATTTGAATTAATCATGAGTTAATGATATTTATCTGTCTTTTGTAAAGTGAAAAGTGAATGTTTGTATGTTTGTATGTTTGAATATATATTTGTATAATGTGTATTAATAAAGCAATTGGCTTGATGATACTGAAGCTGGCAGTGATTGAAAGTAGTCAAGTCGACATGCCGGAGCTGTGGAAAAACACCAAAATACCACTCTGTACTTCGATTGTTAGTTTAAATTAGTGAGCATAATGTGGCATGGTAGAGAGCTGGGATCTTTCTGACATATTCGGTCTGAGGCTTTGCAAAGCCTTAATATGCCTGCGCGTGGGTGTCGGTTTTAACGGAAAAGGCTCTTCTTGGGTTGCCATATTGAGCACTGAGCTTTGTACCACCATGCTAGTCTAAGACATCCAATGGTTTGTTCAGGGAACAGGCTGTTTCGACGCGTTCGGGCCAGAGGCCTTTTCCTGTTAGATGCCAAGGTTTTAGGCGGTAAGCGAAGACGTGGTGGGTGTCTTATGCAGGACATACTATGGACATGTCGGGGTCGAGGCTGGTACGAGTAGGTAAGAGTTTAATCGACTAAAATATCCAGAATTTAATTGTGTCAGTATGACGAAGGAGCTTGAGCTCATGTTCTGTTATAGTTTCCTTGGATTTCGAGAATGCTATTCACGGTAGTCGGCATTAGGAGTTTTCGAGAGAAAGGTTTTGCGTAAGATTTATGGTGCTTTGCGCATTTGCAACGGCAAATATCGCAGCCGATCGAACGATGAGATGTACGAGTTATACGACAACATTGATATAGTTCAGCGAATCAAGAAGCAGCGGCTACGCTGGCTAAGTCATGTGGTCCGGATGGATGCGAATACTTCCGCTTTGAAAGTTTTTGATGCAGTACCCGCCGGCGGAAGTAGAGGAAGGGGAAGACCTCCACTCCGTTGGAAAGAAAAGGTAGAGAAGGACCTGACTATACTTGGTATTGCCGAATTGGCGCCAAACAGCAAAAGGAAGAAACGAAGCGGCGTTAAGTACCTGTCGGCATGCCGTCCTGTACAGGTGGTTTTCCTCTAAGATGCTGTATGGAGTCTTCTTGAAGTGCCTAATGGGATGGTCCCTACAGTAGCTCATACAACCAAACACAATGGAAGTGGTGAGTAGGTGAGAACAGTAGTTTTGTTATTGTTAAGGTACTCTGTACAATCTATGACTGCGATTCAGGTGTGCAGGCTCTACATTAAGACTCCCAAAATCGTGAGATTTTTTATTATCTGTATTTTTACGTCATCGTCTTCACACATTCAGTTCAAGTAGGCACTCCTTCGTCCAGCTGGTGAAGGGGGTAGCCAAGGATTTCGTTGGTTGAAGTTGTAATTATCGTGCAGTCAAGCAGTGGGAAAGATTGGTGAGAGATTTTCAATATCCTGACCAGACACCAATATCGAGCAGTCATCAACAATATGAGATCGAATGAATGTCTTCTAGGTGGTAGAGGGAGCTTCAAAATGCAAAAATAAAAGCAAGGAGAGGAGTGTTGTAGTTTGGCCTGAAAACTCCCCCGACCCGACTTCCACTGGGGAAAAGATTATATATCGACTGACGATATTAGTCTCCGCTGTTGGCAGATGTGCCCGGTTTTGTGAGCGGGATCGCATTCGTGAGGTATTCTGCTGCAGGACCGATGGATTTGATGGCTTTCCGGCCATCTAACCCCGCTTAGGTCGTTCTCTAGATGAGCAATACCACTGCAGTTCTGAAATCTTTCGAAGTCTGAGCTCTGTTGGAAAGTGTAAACGCGGGGATTCTACATAGAAGAATGTGAAAGGAGAACTTCTCTCAAATTGAGAGTCTATTTGGAAGTTTAGGAGAAGCGTAAGGAACTAAGCTTAAATTCTGAACTAATTTTTGACATTTTTGTGCATAAATAACTGTGATTAAGTGTGGTGTATTTGTATAGAAAGAGAGTATTATAGAGAATTTCAATAAAAAAAAATTTCTTATAAATAATATTATTTTAAAAACATAAAATCTAAGCGCTTGGCTTATTTTGTGTTGACTTGTCGTTCTTTTTTACACTTTAGACTTCGCCCATCATCCGCTGTAGATTGTTTTCTAGCTCACGATTTGTAGGCTTCTGCTTCCCATCTCCTCCTTCGTTTCTAGGTTTTCTCTACGCTCCCTTTAAATAATGACTCTCTTTCTCTCTCTCCTTTGCGATGTGTCTCTCTAGCTTTTCATCCTCTTTTCAGTTGAACGTTCACTCTTCCTCTCCCTCTTCCTCTCCCTCTCTCTCTCTCTCTCTCTCTCTCTCTCTCTCTACCTCTTTCTCTCCTAACTTACGCTGCCTTAAAGAGCGCATAACCACTATTGGGCGCCATGTAAACGTAAGGATTTTGCCGCGTCACCGCTGTTTGATAATTCTGCTGCTTGCCATCGCTCGTTTTTGTGTCCAGCGAACGTTCGTAAATCGGTTTAGTAAGTCGCTGTTGCTGTTGTTGTTGCTGTTGCTGTTGCTGCTGCTGCGAATAACTCACAGCAGTTTGTATATACGGTGACGCGGGCACATCGATACGTCCGCCATTCCGCGTATCGCGTTCAGGCACAAAGCCAAGAAATTGCGAGGGATGAAATGGCGCCTGAAAATGTTGTGTCAGTGGCGTTGGCGGTGAGGTTCGCGGCAGCTGCTCTGGCACACGTGATGGTAGTGGCGGTGGCGATGGTAGGGGCGGAAAGTGTGACGTGTGTACGTGTGCGACATGCTGGACATTTTGATGATAAACTGCTTGCTGGGATAACGCCTGAGATGGCTCACGAACTGGTGTCTGTGGCGTTGTCAAAGCTGTTGTTGCTGATGGCTGTGGGCTGGGTGGTAGTTTTGCTTGTGGCGACGCGTATTGCTGATAGAACGCTGTTGACGCTAGCGGCGGTGGCGGTAGAGGATTATAAGCCTGCGTCATTTGCTGTGGTGGGTAAACGAAAGGCTGTGGCTGCTGCTGCTGCCCATATGGTCCTAAATTGGGATGGTAGAGCACACTCAGCGGCAGAAAATAGGTCGAGCTGGTACTATATGAACGACCACTATTTCGCGCTGCCAACGCAGCCGGCGTCTCGCCTGGGAAGATATGTGGCGCTGTGCGTGTCAATGATGGCATAGCGGATGTGGCATACATGTGCGGGAAGTAGATGTGTGAAAATGTTTGTGCCGCCTGGGCTGGCGCTGCACCCACACCATCATTAGGTAGTGCGTCAAATTTCCTTGCGTCCCTGGCACGTTGCTCGTCGCGTTGTTCCGTGGCGGCGGTAGAGGCGGCGTCCGTAGAGTTTGCCACGTTGGCGTTGAGCTCATGACTCTCCTGTGAATTATAGCCGGGATCGTAGAGTAGCTGAGGTGACTGCATGAAGGCATTTGTTTGCTGACTGCCATCAGGTGTGTAGGCTGTATAACTCAGCGGTCCGAATTGCAGTTGTCGTTTGCTTACATTTGAGGCGTGTGTAGTTGTGGATACGCTGTAGCCTGGCAAACCACGCCACAGTAGAAATATTAGAACGTGTATTAACTGCATATCTGATGTGCTAAGATAGTACAAAAGAAGAAGACACTATTAATATGTGCTAAATAGTTATTTGGAAAAATTTCGGCTTAAAAAATATATCATTATAATAAGTGGAACGTATTGGTTTAGTGACAATACCATACTGCAAGCTTCGTCCTCGAGAGGTGTGTGGTTTTTGCCGTACAAAACTGCATTCTAGGCACTGTACGCATGGTTTTCTTGCTACGTCAATCTTTTGTGAGTTCAACGGCGTGCACGAGTAGGGACGCGTGTTAGTTTAGCGCGATGAACTGCCAGTGTTGGATTTTGACAAATCCTCCCGAGGTTTCGCTGCACCATACACCGGGAACTAGTTGTTAGGAAAATTCACTGCCACCGTCTCTTCTTGACGAGTTCCTCTAATTCTAAACTCGCAATAATTTATCGTCTCTTACATAAGCTTACCTACAATGCCGTTACTTAAAGTTTTCCGTTTTAGTTTTGCAACCTTTTGCGTTGAAACACATGCATTAACTACACCCCAACCAGATTTTGTTGCGAGTTTTTATTGGAAAATAGTGAAAACACAGCTCATATATACGTATTAAATAAATAAATCTATATATGTATATACAATAATGGAAATTTGAGGCGTAAATATGATACGAAAAGTATTTGCAAAACAAACGGCCAACTTTCTTACCTTTCTTACAATTGGATTTACTTACAAACCTCACACATGAACTTGGTTAGCTTCACCCAACCCACAGTGCACCAGCTCACATTCTGCACTGGCACCGCAGACACCTTCACTGCGACGGTCAGTGTTGGCTTCAGCAGTTTTCGGTTCCGCAGGAAGTGTAATTCTATACGCAGACAGTGAAAGTTATGTGACGTAATATGAAGTGAGTGACATTTCACATGGCATTGCGATGGAATTTCATGGTCATGGCTAAGTGATGCAATAGAATTGATAGATGGAAAAAGTTTAGTACGTATGCAGTCAGCAGGTAAGCGTACGCAGGTACATATGCATAGTGTGGGGAGTTTATCAGTTCACCCTCAGTGTGCCGAAAGGGCTTAAAGGGTACAGAATGGGCCTAAAAGCTTAGTACAGTGTCTCGGACTGCATTGACCATATAGAGCTGATGGCACGTCTCAGTATATGTGCTTTCTTAAGTAGTAAGATGTCGTCATTTAACTAACGGATGTACTCGCTCGAGGTGGCTCTACCACAATAAGATAGAAGAAAACGCTTTCAGAATTGAAGAAGGTTGAATTCCTCGACATCTGCTGTGGCGCTCATGTAAAGAGAAATGTTTGTTGGGCGTGTGAAAGGAGAGAAACGCCATGGGTGAAAGTTATCCTCACTACGGGATAGCTGGACACCTCTAGACATTTTCCTGCGAGGAGAAGTTGATATCTCAACGAGACAAATGGCAAAGCTCGCAAAGAAGATATGTAAGAAACTCAATTGAAAGCCGTTATATCGTAGAAAACTTTTATATTTTATTTATCAATAAAAAAATATTGAAATTTTGACTAAACTAACTAATAAAATTGTGTAGATCTCAAATAGATGGTCTCCACTCTCAACTCTCTCTCTCTCTCACTCTACGGCTGGCCTCTGATAAGTGTAACCGGCGGTTTGGTTCGGTACCCCGTAGTTGCTGTGTGGACGCCGAACTAGGGATGTATCTACTAAGTTGTAGAATGCACTGGGATTGGCGTTGTGGTATGGCGGATAGGCTTGAGTAGACTGTGCCGGGTGCTGAGAGTTCTGTTGCAATGTAACTGCTGCATTGGAGAGTTCCGCTTGTGGCCGAGTTGGCTCAGGTTGAGCTTGCGTTTGTGGTTGAATGTAGAAATGCTCCTGTTTCTGCATTTGCTTCTCATCCTGTTGATACTGCTGAGATAATGTGTGTGCTTGTGTATGGACACTGCGAAGTGGAAGCTGTGCTGGTTCATTTGCTGTGTGCTGGACTTGTACTGCTTGCGTTGTTGAAGTGCCTACAAATCGGTTATAAAGTGGTTGTTGTTGCCGTTGTATTTGTTGTTGTGCATTGTTTTGTTGCTGTTCTTGCTGATAGGCAAACTGCTGTTGCTGCTGCTGTGTTTGCTGCGCTAAATTTTGTGGCCATTGCGGTATTTTCGCGAACCACACACCGGCTGGCGGCATCGCTGGTTTCTTTGCGACATCACTTGGCTCTTGTTTGGCAAATGATACTTGCATGTGTTTATCTTCTGGATTTTGCTGCTGCTCCCTCCGTTGTTCATCCCTCTCGAGTGCAGCACGTGACGGTGTCTGGTTGGTTAGCGTGAGCTGTTTGGCTGGCTCGTAAAAATATTGTTGATTTGCTTGTGGAGTGGCATAATTTATTGGTAGTTCAGCTTGCTGGCCATCCTTTGCCGTACTTACGACAGTTGCCAAATTCTTATGAGGCTCCTGCAGTTCCATGGTGTAGTAAGATGGCAGCTCCCACGATTCGGACGGCATTTCCAGATACTCCACAGTATTATCCTTAAAAGTATGACGCTCGCCGGTAAGTAGCGTGCCGCTACTAATCGGTAGCCTCTCTGCTAACGCCGCCGTTGGAGCTCCGCTTAAAAAACCGGCTGCTTGCTGCTTTGGAATGTTACTTCCGATTGCTGTTGCAGATTGTGCATAATTTTGTGTTGGAAAACTCACAGCAGCGGCTTGTGATGGCTGTTGCGTCGCTTGCGGTAGGCTCTCGCTTAGTGTTTTCGCAGGCTGCCTGTGCACATTGACTTGTGGCTGGGTTGTGTGTAGAAATGTGTGTTGTCTGTGTTTTTGTTCTTCTTCTTGTGCAGCTTTTGTTGTCACTTCCACTCCTGTCACCTGCTGCTGCTGCTGCAGCGCCTGCTGTTTACCGTGCGCTCTTTGCCATATCAGATAGTCGGTGAATTCTTGAAATGCGCGCTGATACGAAGTCGTCGGCTCAGCGCCCAAACCCACAGTATTGGCGGGACGTGCATAGTTGTATTTACTCGATACGTTTTCTTCCTTGAACCGATCTTTTCCTGCTGCCGGTGACTGGGTCGTAGCTTGTGGCCCACTGACTGTAGTCGTCACAACGCGCGGCACAAAGAAATTGGGTTTGTCACTACTGACAACCGTAGTTTGTGGCACAGAGTAGCTGGGCACGGTGTTTAGTGGTAATTGCTGTTGAACGTCAGCCTCGTTGCTAATAGCCAAAGTAGAAGTGGGTGGATAGAAGATTTGACGGCTGTAACTTTCGGCATTGGGCTTATTGTAAATGTAACCGTCAGGTTGTGTCGCTTGTATTACAGCAGCTGCTGCCGTTGGTGGGGCTCTGGTAGTAGTTGTTGTAGTTGTAATTGCCATTACCGCCGGCGCTGTATAATGGTAGCTAGGGAAAGTGTGTTGCAAGGAGGTGGCTGTCATAGAAGCGTGTTGTGCTGTTGTGGTAGGATCATTGTAGTGATAACCAGGAAGAGATTGTCGCTCTTGTTGGAGGCGATGGTGGTGGAGCTGCTGCTGCTGCTGCAGCGTTTGCTGCCGCGGCTCATCAACAGCATCAACTTCAGCGTGCTGTCTGGGCGCTTCGCCGTTATGAAGCACAGCCAAAGCTGTGCCTATGCAAAGTGCGAAAATGCTGAGGTGGTGCTGTGGGTTAGGCGGTTAGGAGGAAAAGAAATTGTTAGCAAAATGTGGATTCCAATAAAAAATAACGTCTAAATGCAACTATTTCATTGTTTTTATTTTAATTTTAATTTTATTTTATTTTATTTTCGTTTTTATTTAATTTCATAATGTTTTAGTTTCTTAATTTATTTGTTTAATTAATTTATTTAATTGTATTCATTTCAATTTATTTCTCTTAGTTTAATTTATTGCATGGTTTTTTCCAATTTATTTCATTTAATTCTATTTAACTGATTTCATTTTATGTTGCTTAGTTTTCTTTTAATTGATTTATTTCATCCATTTTAGTTTATAAAATTTTATTTTTTTTTACTTTTATTTATTAATTAATTTTTTTATTTGATTTTATTCATTATATTTTTATGTTTATTGTAATTTTTTAATATTTTTAAATTTATTTTATTTTATTATATTTCATTTTGTATTATTTTGTTTATTTTTATTCTTTTTTTCATTGTATATATTTTGACTTACTTTACTTTATGTTATTTTATTTAATACTATTTTCTTTTATTTTATTTTGTTTATTTTAGTTTCATTTTATTTTATTTTATTTTTTTATTTTTTTGTCTTTCTTTTTATTTATATTTATTTTATTTTAAAATATTTTATTGTATTAATATTATTTTATTTAATTTTATGTAATTTTTTATTTGACTTTATTCATTATAGTTTTATTTTATTGTGTTTTTTTATTTGGTTTTATTTGATTCCATTTCGTTTTAATTTGATTTGTATCATTTTATTATATTTCATTTAATATTATTATTATTTTTTTTATAATTCTTTTTTTAATTGTTTAATTTACTTTACTTTATGTTATTTTATTTGCTATTATTTTCGTTTATTTTATTTTATTTTATTTCTATTATTTTCTTTCTTTTTCTATTATCTTCTTTTATTTTATTTTATTCTTTCTTTTACTTATATTTATTCTAATTTATTATATTATATTTTATTTCATTATTTTATTTGATTTGATCTTATTTAGTTTGATTTTACATAACATTAAGTATTTTGTTTTGTATTTTAATTTTTTTTCTTTTTTCATTTTATTTTATTTTATTTTATTTTATTTTATTTTTTTATTTTCATTTATTTTGTTTCTTTTCCAATTTATTTCCTTTGATCTCGACATAATTTATTTAATTTTATTTTATTGTATTTAATTTTATTTATTTTATTATATATATATTTTTTTTATTTAATTAAATGATTTTTTTTTTAATTTATTTAATTCATGATATTTTATTTTATTTTATTTAATATCATCTTCCTTTTCCCTTTTTTCGTTTCATATATTTATTTGTATTTATTATATTTTTTACTATTTTAGCTTACATAATATAATTTTATTGTTACTGTTTTATAATAGTTTTTATAATATAAAGAATATATTTTAATTAAATTATTTTATTTTATTTGACTTTATTTAGTATTTACTTCACTTATATAATTGCTTTAATTTTTGCTTTGAATTCCTTAAAGTTTACCGTGCAATACATATCAGCCAATTATGTTATAAGGTATATCCTTTTGAAATTTGAACTGTAACCACTGAACTTTTGGCGCCTAAGCTCGATCCGTGAATGTTGCAAAGTAATTCGAAGCATAACATTTTTATACATACATGACAAGCGAATAATTGTTTCCATAAATGTTTCATAATAATATTAACAATTATTATTATTTTTATTCATAAGCACTTGCGCAAGTGAAAAGAGCTCAAAATATTTATAGTTGACCAAGAAAACAACAACAAAAAGAAGCAAAAATGCTCCAATAAATTTAGGCGACAATATTTATTGCAATGTGACGCCTGCGCAGTAAATACATTTACTCTACGAGTATATATAATATTTACATGCAGAAAGATATTTATGTGCATATACATACATATGTATGCATGAATGCATTTAATCATATTCAATCACTGTCAAAATGCTATTGTTTAGTTCAAAAGAAACTTTAAATTATTTTCTTTTTAATTTTTAATATATTTGTATTATTATTAACTATTATTATTCTCGTAAAAAACCCATCAGCCGTTCGGAGGCGGCTTAGTATAAACTATAGGCCCCTCCATTTGTTGGAAAAACATCAAGACGCAAAACCACAAAATGGAGGAGAAGCTCGGCCGAAAATCGCTACAGCGGTTACAAAGCGCCAATTATACATATATATATATTAATATTTTTGACTTATCTCAATAGTTTTCATTTATTTTGTTTTCTGTTGTTTCTTTTCTTTTTAACTTTAAAGCACTGCTTACCCACGACCCATTCCTACTTGTGTTGAATGTGTTTAATGTTAAATCGTTTGTTTTTATTTGCATTTACATATAATATTTTTTTATGAAAAAAAATTATTATTACTTTCAATTGTCCACTTTCAATATTTTGCAATTATCACTTGAAAACGTTTTGCATTTTATGTAAGCGTGTACTCCCACACGTGATCGAATTTTTGGTGAATTTTTTTTGGATGAATCGCTGGTATGCCGTCAGTGTTTTTGTAATTGTTGTATGCTTTTGTTTTCTATTGTCACACACTGTATTGTGTCACAAGTAGTTAGTATAACCTTGAAAGTGTGAGAAAACAAATGCACTTCAAAGCCAAAATGCAAACCATATGCGTTATGTATGTATGTATGTATGCTTGAAATCCTAACATGCAGACGCGCTCAATGTTTGAAGTGGTAAAACTAATTTCCAAGGTTTGAAAAAGAAGACAAACTTATAAATTAATATAAATGTAACGGATTGGAAATAAATGTAACGGATTAAAAACATATCGAAAGTATTCGATACATTTCGATTTATTTTCGCCGCTAAAGTATCAAATGTGGTCAACGTTTCACAAGCTAAAGTCTCGTTCACACTTTCCTCTTAATTTAACATAATATTTAGTGTATTCAGGCGCTTCTCCCAAAATGTAACCTTTTAATAAATTTTGAAGCTTTTCCAATTTTCAAAAACACCTTTTTTGAGGTTATGGGAAGGAAGCAAAAAATAAATAAAAAACAACCATACATGCTGAAAGTGCGAAACACAAATGTGAACAATTAACGTTCGTTGCCATAATGGCAAGGTCAAATCATTCACCATTTCCTGTTTGCTAACACTAACAATGTATTGTTTCATAGCCACGTGTTTTGCTAAGTGAGAAATTGGTTTAAAAAATAATTACATTGCCATCATTAAATTCGCATTAAGCTAAATTAAGTGAAATGTCTAGTTATTTTTAAATATAATAGAAAAAATACCGAAAAGAAGAAAACTTGTAATTTTTCTGTGGACAAGTGCAGAATTTAATGTAATTATCAAATCAACAATAACGCTTAAGTAAAATCTCAAATGCTCGCGAAATAAAAAGTTTAGCCAAAGTATGGGTACAAAGCGTGTGAAAAAAATCACTATAAATATACATACATACATATGTCTAGTAAAAAGTAAACCAGTATATTTTTTCATAATTAGGAATATCAAATATGCAACTTTTTGTTCGATAACCTTTTGCCATTTGAAGGTGACGTCATTACATCTCTCTCACAGAAATCCTTTCCCGTATCGGCCAGAAATTTGTACAATCGATTTCTCTTGAGTCCAGCAAAATAATTCGCCATGGACAGGAACAAATGGCAGTTACTTGGTCTGCGGGCCGAATTATAAGATGAATGCATAAGAACCTTCTAAACACAAACTCTCAGAGCTTCAATGTGTGTGGTCTGACATTGCCCTGATGAAACACAATACCCTTGCTGTTGGCCAAAGCTGTGCGCTTCCGAGCGATTGCTTTCTTCAAATGGTCCATTTGTTGACATTGTACAGGTCCGAATTAAGAGTTTGGCCGTAGTCGAGCAATTGCAGCAGTGCTCGCTTGATGTTGAGACTCAACGATTTGCATTATTTTATTGAAATTTTAATATAATTTTTTATGCATATATAATTTTTATTACAAAATATCATCTTTCTAAAGCCATTTACCATTCACTGTATTAAAAAGGCATGAAAATTTTGGGAAAATTTAAAAAAATTAGTAAAAAAAAAAAAAATGCATATCCTATTTGAAGTGCACATCCTTGAAACTCATTTAGATAAAGACGATGCCGGGCGTTGAACTTAAGGTGACTCGAATACCATACAAGCATTTTTCGAATAGACAAAAATGCCGTAATACTTGGTAAGCGGGCCAACTCAGTTCTAAGATATGAGCCGCCGGAATGGTTATTAAATTCAGTTAACGCCTTTGTTGTTGTTAATATATAAAAATAGCACACATCAGATAAGTGTGATTAGACATGAGAAATGAGACAACAAACTCATATACATACATACACATACATATGTACTTGCATATATTACTTATCATTCACCATTTTCACTTCCCAAAATCTAATCAAATAACGGTTAGATAATGAGAAACTTAAATGAAAATGATAAGATAATTTTATATATGTAGTAGTAACGCTACGTGAAGTCTTTTGTCAAGAATGGCAGAATGCAGATAACATTACTTGTTCTTCTTCTTCTTCATTACTGGCGTAGACACCGCTTACACGATTATAGCCGTGTTAACAACATTTCACCATTCATTTCTTCTTTTCTCTTTTTTGACGCCATTTGGGTATACCAAGTACAGGCAGGTAGGCCTTCTCCACCTGGTCTTTCCAACGACTTCAGAGTTATGACGCTCGACAGTGACGTAGGAGCCGAGTCGCGAGTGCGATGACTGCTTGTTTGATGACAGGAGATGTTTCGTTAGGCCTCAATTACTACCAGACCCATACGCTTCATTTCCTTATTTCCTCTTTAGAAAGCAGAACTCACTGCACGGAGGAGAAGATTGTAGATTGTAGAAGATTGTTTCGCCTCTATTCAGCTGTGCAGCTCTTATTATTTTCTCCATCAACAAATTGAAGAAATCACACGATAAAAGGTCACCCTGTCTAAAATCTCGTTTGGTGCCGAACGGTTCGGATAGGTTCTTCCCAATTTTGACCGTGCTTCTGGTGTTGTCCAGCATCAGTTTACTATTATTAGCCGCATAAGTTTTGCAGAGATACATGAATTCAATCATAACGAAGGTAGCTTTAAATTCGACGAAGAGGTGGCATATGTGAATCCGTTCTTCCCGGGTCTTTTGTAAAGTGCATGGTGCATGGTGAGCAACCAGTCAAGGGATAATTTACCACGGCTACAACTACATCGATTAGGTCCAATCAGGTATGTGGACGCTCGAAAGGACATCAGCCGAATGCATTTCTGACAAATGATTAGCCGCTCAGGGCGGCTTAGCATAAACTATAGATCCCTCCATTTACTTGACCAGTATGTAGGTGTTCGAAATTGTGACGTCTTTACTAAAAGCAAAAAACTCTTTGGAGCGAACTTTTCTTCATTATTCGCTGTTTTATTAGAATTTAAACAAAAGTGGGTTCCCGAACTGACAAGAATTTACCGCAAAATGCAACCGTTTGCAGGCTCTCTGTTTTGTGAGAGAACAAATGAATTACTAAATAACGCTCTCTTTCAATAAGTACAGAAAAAAAAAGAAGAAAAGTGACACTGTCAGACCATCAGCTGTTATTGTCAATATGATTTAAACAAAACGTAATGAACATTTTCGTATACAAATCGTTAAAAATGTAATTATTCAAGCAAAAAAGAATCATAATTTTATAAAAATATAAATATATATCAAACCAGCTAGAGTTGGGCAACTTTCCTGTTACTTAACGCGTTGAAATAGTTGACTCCAACACAGTGCCAAAAATTGACCAACTCTCATATCCATTTATTCATTTTATTTTTTTTTTAGCGAACTAGAAAACTTTAAAACAAGGGGATGGGAAATTTATCGTTGACATATTTTGCTGCCAATGTCGCCAATGTCACGCAACGCAAAGAAGTTTTATATGTTAACGGCTTTAGAAATGTCACGTAAAACAGGTAAGCTCTATCTGCAAAGCAAGTTCTATTTGTCATGTCGTTTAGTAGAAGGATTTTTTGTTTTGAAACAAAGAGTTATGGCAATAAAAATTAAAATTCGCTTGAAACTTGCAAAAATTTAAATCAATTTCATCACAAGTTAAATTTTTATATTATTGTCCCATATACACGGAATGCACCTTCTATTTCTTTTTTATGAACTTAAACTTAAGCGATTCAAATAATTGATATGCTAAGCCTGTAGCTTTCTTTGAATGAAGCCATCTCAAACATCTTCATTGCGTCTAAGCCATAAAGTGCAAAAACACTTACGTAGCAAGTAATATATAACGTATATGTATATGTACATACATACATACATATATGTTAATAGTGTCGCTATTGCGCGGATATACGTGATAATTTTGATGATCAAATATTTTCCCACCAACTTCAAATTAGTTTTTTACATTTTTCTTTTATTATCTTCAAATATTTTTTACTTATTTCATTTTCTTACATTTCTAATGTCGATCGCTGTCGCTGGGTTTTTGGGAGTCAGCGAAATGGTGAAATGAATAGTTTCGCATATTTTGAAGTTCCATTGGAGATTTAGTGAAGTTTTCGAAAGAAAATGAGAATAGAGCATCGAATATTGTTTTATCGTAAGAGCATGTCAGAAACTTATAGCACAATTAATTAATTAAGTATATAAGTGAACGTAACATAAGTATGTTAAAAAGTGAACTCGGTGGCGACAACATCGGTATAGAGTACATCAGAATAAATTCTGCGTTTTAAAGAGAGTTGTATAGTTAGTAAACTGTGTGAAAATAATAGATAGTTAGAATTCTAAAATAAGTAGTCGTGTATAGTTAGGCGAATTGTTATTTATTGGGTAAAAATTTAATTTTATAAAGCGGAAATCACGCAACATTTTTGGGGGCTTTTATTTAACAAACCAGTGATCCAACTAGAAGCACTTGGAAAATCATCGATCATCACAATATAGTGAAATTTCTTTTCATTCTCCTAATCAATTTATATTTAAAGTTTTCTCAAGAGAAATCCCACGAGCGCAGATTCTCTATTCAAGCCACTTACTGAAAGAACTCAACGTAGTGGCGCACATTACTTAAAAGTTTATCCAAATGATAATCGAAAAAGTTCAGATAGTTTCGTATAATTTAAAAATATATCATATATTATTATTTATTTCTACTTTTAGTTTATTTAATTAAAAATAACATATTTTTTAATAAATACTTAATGTCATTAATAATATTTTTAAATTTTAACTTTTTGTCTTTGGCTTTTAATTTTTAGTTATTTCAATTCAAACGATATATTCGGTTACCCGTTATTTCCTTAAACTGCACTAGTCAGGTATGGGTAAAATATATTATATATTAATATTTATTACTAATTTTAGTTCATTTAATTAATAATAACATATTTTTTAATAAATACTTAATGTCATTAATCGATTTTTTTTTAATTTTTTGTCTTCAACTTATAATTTTTAGTTATTTCAATTCAAACGATATATTCGGTTACCCGTTACTTCCTTACACAGCACTAATCAGGTATGCATTCAGATTTACACACGTTGAATGTCGCTCAGCTGTTGTACAAAAAGCTGTCAGCTGTGTTGGCCATGCATTTCATATCATTAGTCGCAGAGAAAGTTCAAATACAATAAATTGAGCTGTTATAACTTATTTAATTTTATTTGATATCATTTCTTCCTACTTTTTTCTCATCCAACTACGCGCTTTCGTGGCGAAATCTTCTTTTCGGTACTGATACAAAAATCTCGCAATATTTTTGACAATAGCTATTTGGCACATACAAATATAAGTAATGCAGTAGAAGGTTGGTGAAATTGAAGGTATTTTATTTGTTTTTTTTTTTTTTATCATCAGATAAACATTTTTATCTGTCAACGCTTCTAGCGTGTTGGATTTAATTTTTGTTGAAGGCGACGAAAAACTTCCTGTCAAGATGATGTTTTTGGTTCATTTTGCGAAATGATGTAATGAAACTAGCACATTCTGGTAATGAGTGAGTTTTTCGAGAGATCATCATGATTCTACAAATTGATAAGAAAGCGTTTGTAAGCTGAGCTGAAGTGGATAATCACATTTATTGTTACATTTAGTATTACAGATACATATCTGTGGGTATATGCATATGCATATGTATATATGTTTGTACGAGGCATAACATATTGAATTTCATGTTAAAACGATTTTACCAGCTTTATTTAAACAATAAACGTTTACTATAAATAACTGTCTATGTACAACGTTTATGCATCCGGGAACATCTGTCAGTAACCGTTGACAATATTATATATTTTATATCTACATATATGTGTTTGCTTATTTTCATCTTGTTCAGCGAAGCAGGTAGTGATTATAAGAGGTTTTTCAAAAAGCTTTTGATAGAAAGAAACTAGCCAACCATTTCAGTTTTAATTTACTCTTCAAGTGATTTAAATACTAAGGCAAAGAAAGTTCTGGTAGTTAAAAAATATGTCTGAAAAGTAAATTTGTAATATGTTTTTCAATCCTTTAATTCCAGATATAAGAAAATACTTTCAAATACTACTTAAAAAATGACAAATATGCCTGATACGGTGACAAACATTGGCAATCTGCTACATTGTGTTTCGAAGCAAATAAAACGCTCTGAACAAGAAGCGATCATCAGCTCGTTTTTGGCCACAACAACGGAGACGGAAAATGTAAAGCCAGATCATTGCGCTATAAAACGTGTTGAGAAGTTGGAAAAGGACGTATTTACGGTAAATATTGCGATAATATTATTAAGTGTATTTTGTGGGTTTTATTATCAACTAATATGAAATTTTTCATAGCTCTTCGCACAGGTTCTGCACCTATATCAAGCCGATGAATTGATGATATCATTCAATGGCGGCAAGGATTGCACTGTCTTGCTAGATATAATACAGCGCTATTTCAAACGCAATAAATGTATCAGCCACATACGTATACCGGTATTGTATATCGAGACTGAAGATAGTTTTCAAGAAGTCGAAGCTGTAGTGCTCGATTGCGAGCGACGTTATAATATAAATTTGATAAGACGTAAGGGTTGCATAAAAGATGTGCTAGCAGAGGTATTACAAGAGATACCCGAAATGCGTGCAATTTTCATGGGTACAAGGCGCACAGATCCATTTAGTGAGAACTTAAATATTATGCAGGTAAGTGTAAATGTATACATAGTATATAATTTACATAACATTATACACATACATTTTTTTTTCAATTACTTAGGTAACAGATTTGAATTGGCCACGTATAATGCGTATTTTCCCACTACTCGATTGGAGTTATCGTGATATTTGGGAATATACATTTGTGCGAAAAGTACCATATTGTAACCTCTATGAGCAGGGTTATACATCATTGGGTCAAATACATAATACGTCGCCAAATCCACACTTACGGATCTTCGATCCGATAACAAAGGCTGTGACGTATAAGCATGCGGCTGAGTTGCGAGATGCGGAATATGAACGTGCTGGCCGTAACATAAAAAGTAATAAAGAAAATTGTGCGAATAATGAAACGAACGGTACTGAGGAACAAGGGGGAAAAAGCTAAATGAGAACAAGAAATGCAATCAAATAAATAAGGAAGATAAAATAATTTACTTAAAACTATTGAAAAACAAATCGTGATACATTTTATAAATAAAATTAATAACAAATTTGTATGTATACAATACTTACATACATGCATGTAAGATTTCCAAATTAAGCAAATGTCGTACCTACAAAAATTAATAATTAGTAATGCACATATGTATATATTATTTATACATTATATATAAACAACCATTATGAAGCATATAAATTTGAGCGATATACTTAAATACTTGATTTTGGTAACATACAACAATGTGAAAATCATAATTATGTACTATGAGGCTTGCCTTTATTTATTTACTTAAAGTACTTATAATTTTATTGCACCTTTACATACACAACGGTAATTTCTCGAACAAAAATTAGTTGTAAGCAATATATTGAAACGTTAAAAGTATGGTGCTATATGCTTATTCTAATAGAAAATATAAATATCAATTTCGACAGCATAAAAACTGGGTTTCAATTTATTTTCCACGAAAAAATGGATAGACGTATACATATATATAATATTCAAAATATGATTTAATACAATTTAGTGTTTTCGCTCTTGGTTCCATTTTTTTCAACATACACTGTATCGCAGCCACTGTAAATATTCCTCTCTTCAATTTCCATTTACATACATATTTCAAATCAGCTGTTCGGCCAATTGACCGCATAACCTCACTTTGCCAGCTGTGTATGTTTTGTGCATTTCTATAATGATTTCGCAACAAATTTTTAATTCGATATACGCACAATTTTAGCACATTAGGTAAAAGGTGAAATAGTGCAAATTTTTTTTAAATGTTTGGCATACGAATTAATTAGTAGCGAATTAAAAAAGAAAACGGTATACGTGAATCATCACTGCGGTGAAAGAAGAATGGCACGTTCAGCACAAGATGCGCTCGCCGTATTGCGGGGCATACAGTTGGTAGCGGAGGCGTTATGTCGCGAGCAGAGCGCACAGTGTACACAACGTTGGAATCAGTCGAGTATACGTGAACTTTTACTAGGTAATCTTCAACAAAGCGCAAATTATCTCCAACAAGTTGGCGCACAACCAACGGAGGAACTAAAGAAGTTACAACAATTGCTGCAGGAAACCAGCGAGCGCACTTGTGTGGTAATTGAGGGTTTACGTCAGTTTAGTGTTGCAAAAGTGCCCACGGAATTGCGTATGAGTCAGCAAACGTTGCAACGTACAATGGGTGATGTCTTTGGCGGTAGTGGTGTTGCTGGTGGAGCTGGTGGTAGCGGCCAACAGAGCGGTGACGCTAAAAAAAATATAAGCGTTAATTTAAGCGGTGCCGTTGGTAATAAAACACCCAGCCATTTAGATGCCGCACAGCTGGATATTTCATCAATAACCTTAAATGAATTGGAAGAAATACTATCGAAACGAAATAAAAATCGAGATATTAGCTTGCGTACGCCAACTACCGAGCAAAAACTTGTCAAAGATGTAAACACACACGTAGAACCAAACATAGAAGCCGTAGCAGCAAAAGCCCCAAATATGACAACAACAAATCCATCGTCTGAGCAAGCACCACCGGCAGCTTCCTCCTTGAAAGCAGACACCATTTACGTTGAGAATATTTTAAAAGTTATTGCCGGCCAAACAGAAACGGCAGACATCAAAAATTCTACAACAACAATTGAGCTGCCTACCCTAAGTAAAGTTGCTAAACAGCGACGCGTGCCGTCTAGTCGTTTTGGGCGCATGGTTTCCTTTGGTGGTCTATTTGCTGGCTTAGGTGTCGGTACCGTAAATGAATTAACCAAGGGTGCACTTGGTCTTGGCGGCTCGAAAAATTTAAAAGAGGCCCTACTAAGCCCAGCTAATGCCGAACGTATTGTAGACACTCTCTGTAAAGTGCGTGGTGCAGCATTAAAAATTGGTCAAATACTCAGTATACAAGATTCGAGTGTCGTTTCACCGCAATTGGCAAGAGCTTTCGAGCGTGTACGTCAGGCGGCTGATTACATGCCCGATTGGCAGGTGGAGCGTGTAATGAACACACAATTGGGCGCTAACTGGCGTGATCTATTGAAAAGTTTCGATAATAAACCATTTGCGGCTGCATCTATTGGTCAGGTAATGAGTTGGTTTTTTAATGTTAAAACAAAAAAAAAAAAAGATAAATAAATAAATAAAATCTGTACATTTTTCTCTTACGCAGGTGCATCGCGCTACATTAAAGGACGGCATGCAGGTGGCTATAAAAATTCAATATCCTGGTGTGGCACAAAGTATCGAGAGTGATATTGATAATTTAGTGGGTATGCTTAAAGTATGGGACGTATTTCCACATGGATTTTTCATTGATAATGTCGTAAAAGTAATTATTCTAGTAAATAGTAGGTATATCCTCTCTAACTATTTGTTTTATGCTACAACTGCCAGGTAGCCAAACGAGAACTCAACTGGGAAGTCGATTATACACGTGAAGCTGAATATACAGATAAATTTAAGCAAATGATAGCACCATATCCCGAATATTATGTGCCTAAGGTTATCAAGGAATTGACTACTAGTAGCGTGCTGACAACGGAATTGGTGCCGGGTGTGCCATTGGATAAATGCTTCGACTTAAGGTTATTATAACATAAATTTCAAGATGATTTTTTTTTTGGTTGAAAGTCTGGTGAAGATACATTTTATTTTATTACTATTTTTTTATTTGTTTAAAAGCGTTTTTCTAACATATCTCATATTTTCTTTGTCTTTAGCTATGAGCATCGTCATCACATCGCCTCTTCGGTGCTCAAGTTGTGTTTGCGTGAATTATTTGAGCTGGAGTGTATGCAAACGGATCCGAATTGGTCGAACTTTCTATACGACGCCGAGACGAAACGTCTAATGTTAATTGATTTCGGTTCAACACGTTTTTATCAAAAGCAATTTATAAAAAATTATCGTCAAGTGAGTATCGTTAATTCAAATTGTTTTTTTAATTCTTTTTTTCTTATTATTTTACTATTTTAGGTTATAATAAACGCTGCAGAGAATAATCGTGCTGGCGTTTTGCAAATGTCACGTGAAATGGGTTTCCTCACTGGCTATGAGACGAAACAAATGGAGGAGGCGCATGTAGATGCCGTGATGATACTTGGTGAAATGTTTCGCTTTGATGGTGAATTCGATTTTGGCAAGCAGGTAAGTGTTGTCAGTTTATTGTGTGTAGTTGAAAATAGTTTATGTAAATTCAATTTTTATTTTTCAATTCATTATTGCAATAGAATACCACCGAACGCATCGCCCATTTGGTCCCCACCATGGTAGCGCATCGTCTATGCCCACCACCGGAGGAAATCTATTCTATACATCGCAAATTATCGGGTATATTTCTGTTGTGCGCACGCTTAAATGTACGTCTCAACTGTCGGCCGTATTATGATGAAATTGTTATTAAGAAATTTAAGGAGTGAAAGTAGTTTTTAGTGAAAATATATTCTCCCATCCACTTTACTTTTACTAACTGTCTAATTCCTTGGGTGCAAGCGTTAAACTTAATTAAAAAAAAATGTGTTAAGCTTAAGCGTAGAGTTAGCATCAAATACATACATACATATGTAAAAATGTATTTGCGAAATGAAAAAAAGTATTTAAAATGCTTTTAAAATCAATACAATAGTGTTTTTTGTTTTTATTTTTATTCTATGCGATGTATAAATTAAAAATTTAATCCAATGCTGAATAAAAAAATGCCTTTCCTTATATTCAAACATTGATTGTTCTTCTTGCAGGGGAAATAGAGTGCAAAGTAATAAAAGAACAAATATGTTTAAACTTTCATTCTTAAATATCTTGTTACTACAATAGCAAACGAATACTACTCTTTCAACCAATATTAGTAATCTTAGACAAAATACAAATGTTATACAAAATTAAAAACTAAAAAAAGTCCTTTGTTCATTTAAGTATTAAATTTTTCAAAAATCTACTACTATTTCAAATACTACTTTTTACTGTTAATTCTACTACCTTTTATTGCTCTAAATACCACTCTATAATACAATAATTGAAATATACAAATATTTCAAAGTGTTTCTTTAATTAGTAAGCCATTATTATTAACTATATTTCCACTACTAAAATGTCATAATTTCTACTTCCAACTTAAAAATAGAAAACTCGAATTTCAGAACAATTAATGTCCAAAAACTCAGAAATTTGATTTTTAATTGTCAAAGTTTTTCCTAAATATAGTACTTTTTCTACTGCTATTAAAATACTGCAACTCGAATAAATTCTTTTCTTCTAGTTTTCAATAACAAAACGAGTAAATCAATTAATAAATCGTATATTCTAACATTAAACTGATATTTCTACTGCTAAAGTGCCAAATTTTTTACTACTTATATGTTTCAAATTGCTACTATAATATAAAAAATGGCAAAATTGAGAGGTCTTTATAGTATACGTTCTTGTTTAATATGACAATTTTCTAAAAAGTTTCAAAAAAAAACTTATAATCCATCGAATCAAATAATAAACTACCATTTCTACTACTATCCTAGCAAAGCCAGTCACCACCTAAGATTATTTCACAAATTTTATATTTTTTTCTTATTAATTTTTAATTTATTTAAAATTAGTTTTTTTTTTATCTTATAAATCGTACCTAATTTACATGAATAACATTGTTAGGTCATTCATACATTCATTATATAAGTATGTACAGACATAAAAGCACATGCATAACGGCTAAATACAGCACTCTATGCAAGTTGAGCATTTCCTTCTTGCGAATTGAGTGCGATATTGCCTTTTCGCCAGTTCCCTATTGGTTTGCGTCTTCAATTTCGACTGGTTTCCCATTGGGTTTTGTATCTGCTAAGCGATCTGCTGTGGCTTAACATTTGCGCCTTCTCATTAAATTAACATTCACTGATATTAACATTCTCTGCTTCAAGCGAAGATCGATTTTTACCAATGAACTTCGCCTGCAAAATAATAATAATAAAAAAAGAAAAAAACCCACTCTCTGTCTACATACTCGTACTCTTTGAGCTTTGCAGTAATGCACACACATACATACGAGTTCATAGCATGCGAGTCTCACTACTTATTTGTCCGCTCTTCTCATTATGGCGATCAGAGCAGAGATCTGTAGATACATACATACATATGCTTGTACTCGCGAGGCGTTTGTATGTGTATGTTCGAAAAAGTTTTTCGATTCGTTTTTCAAACACGAAAAGGCGGCCGGTCCAATTGAATGGGTGGAATTTAGTGCGTTATTGCATTTCGAACGAGGTGGTGGTGGATATTAATATCGAAAGCGTTCGTAAGGTTGGGGAAACGAAAAGAGAAGCAATATATGTATGTGTATGTGCATATATATATAAATATATAAAAGTATATATATATATTTATATATATATATATATATATTTATGCATACGAACATATAATCGTATATATTTATATGCATATGGATAGATAGTTTGTGTTTGTGTATGTGTTTATTAAGTACTATAAGTATAATATGAGTGCCGAAAGAAAATTACAAAGAAAAAAAACAAAAGAAATGAAATAATTATAAAAAAATGATGAAGAAAGAGAAACAAATTTGTATAAATCAAAAACTAAAAACAAAATTAAAATAGTACAACAAACCACCAGACAAGGAGGTGAAGAAATTGAAAGCATTTAAGGCAAAATATTATGGAAAACAAATACGTGAAAGACAAAAAATAAGAAATATACATATGTATGTATGTGTATATAAATAAATAACAAAAAAAATAATAATAAGAAGAAGTAAATATGTAAATAAATCAACAAGCAAATAAATCAATTAATCAAGGAATAGATAAAACATAAATAATTATTAATTAAATTAGTGCTAAAATAAAAAAAGGTATATAAATAAAAAATTTTCAAAATTATAAATAAAAATGTACAAAAAATATAAATAAAAATTAGAAAAAAATATAAATAAAAATGAAAAAAAAAATAAATAAACTTAAAAACAACATTAATAATAATTAAAAAAATATATAAATAAAAATAAAAAAAATATAAATAAAAAATAAAAAAAATATAAATAAAAATTTTAATGAAATAATAAATAAAAATGTAAAAAAATATAAATAAAAATGAAAAAATATAAATAAATTTAAAAATAATATTAATAAAATTAATAAAAAAAATTTAAACATAAATAAAAATTAAAAAAAAAAATATAAATAAACAAAAAGAAATATAAATCAACATTAAAAACATATATATATATAACTTAAAAAAATATAAATAAAAATTAAAGAAATATATAAATAAAAACAAAAAAAATATAAATAAAAAATAAAAAAATATAAATAAAAATTAAAAAAATAATATAAATAAAAATTTAAAAAAATAATATAAATAAAAATTAAAAAAAAATATAAATAAAAATTTAAAAAATATAATAAAAATAAAAAAAAAATAAATAAAAATAAAAAAAATATAAATAAATATAAAAAAAAATATAAATAAAAAAATTTAAAAAGAATATAAATAAAAATTTAAAAGAATTTAAATAAAAATTAAAAATAATAAAAATAAAAATGAAAAAAAATATAAATAAAAAAATATAAATAAAAAATAAATAAATTAAAAAAAAAAATTTAAAAAATTGTATAAATAAAAATTAAAAAATATATAAAAAAAAAATTAAAAAAAATATATAAAAAAAATTAAAAAAAATATATAAAAAAAATATATAAAAAAAAAAGAAAATAAATATAAATAAAAATTAAAAAAAATATAAATAAAAATTTTAAAAATATACAAATAAAAATTAAAAAAAAAATTATAAAAAATTAAAAAAATATATAAGTAAAAATTTAAATGATTATAAATAAAAATTAAAAAAAAAACATATAAATAAAATTAAAAAAATATATATAAAACAAATAGTAAATAAGTTAAAACGAAATATATCGGTGAACAAAAAATAAATAAAACAAATAAGTGAAGAAATAAATATATAAACAAGTATAAAAAACAAATTATATATAATATAGTATAATAAATGAAAATGATAAAAAAATATTATAATTAAATACTGTTTTTCTTTTGTATAATGTTTTATTGAAACTTTCCTTTTTGGAAACTACAATAATTATGAAAATCTTAAAGCTAATTCTTACGCCGGGAACAAGTTAATCATTACCACTGTATAGATTAACAAAGTAAGCAATAAATTAGGAATATAACTGCGATTTGTCAAAGAATGTGTTTATATAGATATCATTGTTTGGTGTCCTTCATGTTCAAAATTTAACAAAAGATATACCATAAAGCATAATTTGAAGTAAATTTTAATATCATGAAGAATATATCGGCAACTCCGATGTAGAATAATTGGATGCGGCAGAGCCCTTAGTCACAGTTCAAACGTAAATATTTTCTCTTTAATCGCTTAGTGTAGTTCTGCTGTAATAATTTTTTTGCTAGAAAGTTTGGGTGGTTAGATAACCTTAATGAGTAATTCTTAAGCAGTTTCTCTATTTTCTCGGTGACGTTTTTAATCCCGAGATCGTTGTGGAATTGTGGAGTTTTTTTTTACATACCAAGGGGCTTTGCATATTGATCTTAAGGTTTTAGACTGCAGTCTTTGAATTCTATCTAGGCTAGATTTAAAGGCTGAGCACCAAATTTGGATCCAGTACGCCCAAGATGGTTTTGTAGGCATATTAAAAAGTTAAACTTTTTTTCTAGACTTAGTTTGGATTCAGTGCCTACAATCCAATGCAAGTTCGCAATTTTCAATTTGGTTTGAGTTATCTTTTTGTCTATGTGGTCTTTTATCCAATGTAACTCCCATGTAGGTAACGAATTCTCGCTGAGGTATTGTATTCCCATTTATAGAGATTGGAGGCCATGCGTCTATATTTAGGGTAAATGTTACTTGTATACACTTAGACACATTGACTTTAATATTCCAAGTTGTTAGCCACCCTTCTATTCCTTTTAAATGTTCCTGTAATCTGTAACTGGCTATGATGGGGATATGAATGGACACTAATAAGTATGGCTGTATCATCCGCAAAAGTTGCTGTGATGAGTTTCGGGAAGATCGTTCGTATAAATCAGTTATAAGGCGAGCCCTAAAACAATTCCTTGTGGAACACCAGCATATAATTCCTAGGATTCAGTGGTGTAACTATTTTGCCTAACACGAAATTCGCTGGTAAAAAGAAAGCTTTCTAAGACATCAAAAATTTTTACGGGAAGCGTACCTTTCAGCTTGTATAATAGACCATCTAACCAAGCTTTATCAAATGCCTGTTCTTATGTGAGCTACGATTCTATGCACCTGCTTTATTGTGCTGTGTTTTTCTCTAAACCCGAATTGGTGTTATGATTAGGGTCTGATTTGATTCTGAAATCGGTCAAATTTTTTTAATTAAAATTTTTCGAAGATTTTTGAGCCCATCAAAGATGGATCATTATCTGGTTTGGGGATCATAATAATCTCTGAAAGCTTCCAGGATTTAGGAAAATGATTTGAAATTAAATTGAAATAAATTATAAATAAAGAAAATACATAAATATGATAAACAAATAAAAAAATATAGTAAATAAATAAATACAATATAAAAATATTAACTATAAAATAAATAAAAATAATAAATGAATATTATAAATAAAAAAATAAATATAATATATAAATAAATACTATAAAAAATATAATAAATAAATAAATATAATATATATAAAATTAATAATTTAATAATAAAATTAATAAGTCAATTACACATTAAAATTGTATATAAATAAACTGGTAATAAGTTAGTTAAAAATAATAATAATATTAAACAAATAATTCAACAAAAACGTATTAAAAAATTAATAAACAAATTTTTAAGCATATAAATAAATATTTACTGAATAAATAATTAATAATATGTAAATTAAATAAATAATTAAACAAAAAATATATAATTAATAAATAATATATATATATAAAAAATAAATGAAAAGGAAACACATATGCAACGAATAAAAATGATTTTACTAATAAAAAGTTCATTTAAAAAATAATTAAAAAAAAAAATGGAATTATTTAATAATAAAATAAATAAATTAATTAATAAAAAGTTTTATAGATTAATAAATATAATAAACAAATATTAAAAATGAAAAATGAATATTATAAATAAATATAATAATTAAATGAGTTAATTAAAAAATAAAAAATTTGTATATACAAGTAATAAATAAATTAAAAATAATAATGATATAAAATAAACAATTCAACAAAAACTCATTAAAAAAATTGATAAACAAGTTTATAAGGATTTAAATAAATATATACTAAATGATGAAAAAATCTATAAAATAAATACATTCAATCTATAAATAATATGTAAATTAAATAAATAATTAAATAAAAAATGTATTAAATTAAAAATTAAAAATAAAAATAATAAAAAACTAAATAAATGATTATATAAATAAATAGAAATGTATAAATAAATATTTCAACAAATAATATATAATTAATAAATAATATATGATAAAAAAAATAAGTGAAAGAGGAACAAATATGCAACGAATAAAAAATGATTAAACTAATAAAAAATTAATTTATAAAATAATTAAGAAAAATATGAATTATTTAATAATCAAATAAATAAACAAATGAAGTTATATACATATATGTACGAGTATGTATATACATATATAAAATAGTGTTATGAGAAATACCCAAAGTACCCGGAAGGTCAGATTTCGACTAGCATTTGAACTAAAAGAAAACTAAGTTTTCTAATTGTGATCGCCACCCCCCAAGCCCTCCGAGAGTATTACTGTCATAAAATAAATGCTCCTAAAAAAAAGTATCCGCCGTTCGGACGCAGCTTAGAATAAACTCTAGATCTCTCCATTTGTTGAAAAAAATATCAAGACGCAAATCATATATAAATTTGGAGGAGGAGCTCGGCCCTAAAACGCTTTAGCGGTTAAGAAGTGCCATTTATATATACATACATATGTATACGTATGTATGTACATATGTACATATGTACTAATGCATGTACATAAGAAAATATGTAAGCGTCAAATCATTAAGTTGATTTTCTGCACTCATATACATACATACATATGTACATATTAAGTATGTACATACATGTGCTACATGGGCTGATATACATATTTTTTAGTATTTTGTTTATAATATTTCTTACAACAAAATCATTATGTTTTCTTGGTTTTTCACATTTTACCTTATTATTATTGTCTATCTGTTACCTTCTGTCTCTGCGTTCAGGCGGGTTTCGAGTACAAAAATTAACATACACACATACATATGTACATATGAATTAATACATACTATGCACATATGTATGTACTTATCTACAGACATATGTATGTACATATATATAAAAATATGCAGCAGCAGATTTATTGGTGAGCTAAGACGCCTCCGCCGGGATTAATTGGATTTAATGGGCGAAGAATGAATCGGATTGTCATCGGGGCGTACGCGATAACGCGTAGATCATACATATGTACATATGTATGTGGACATATGTATTTATATGCGCGATAGGACAAAAAAAAAAGAAAAATAAAACAATACTAACAACAATAACAACATCAATGGTTTATAAAAATTAATGAGAATACTCATATTAATCAAATGAAGTGCGCAAACAAGCATACATATATACATGTACGTATGCGTACATAGATGCACACATAGAGCAAATAAATAGCTGTATATGTGCCGTACATTGCCGTATAATTATATACAAACATACAAATGTATGTATGTATGTAAATATGTATGAATGCATGCAGATGGCCGGAGATGCACTCTGCATACATATGAATTTATATTGCACCTAAAAAATATATACATACTCTTACTTACATATGTGTATGTATGTAAATATGTATGCGCATATAAAAAAGCAAGTAACGCTTACCAAGCTGATATATGTACAAATGTGTCGATATATTTGTATGAACATACATATGTGCATATGACAGATATCTCAGCTACCTCGCTTACATATATATGTACATATATATATGTAGCTATGTATGCATGTACCTACTTGCCACTCTACGTAGTCTATTCGCCTTTTTATACATCCATACATACATATATACATACATGTGTAAATATGTAAATAAAAATCAACAACAATATACGTACATATACATAGATATGTAGACATGTAAATGATATGTAAATGCAATTGTAATATAATTATATACATATGTATGTATACCATAAATAAATATATTCTCAACCGCACAAAAGTCCACCGGCGGCTGCTCTGTCAAGTCGGTGCGTTTATTAAAACTCTATGAGAGTAAAAAACACATACACACACATATATGTATATACATATGCGTAGTGTAATACACAGTAAAGACAAGAGAGTAAATCTACATATCAAGTACTCAAAAAAAATAAATATATATATATATATATATATATAAAATAAATAAAAAAATAAAAACAAATACAATTGTCGCGGTTGAGAGATCGCCACCTTATCAATGAATTATGAAGAACAAGTGTTAGCCACAAAAACAACAACAATACTAAAAGCAACGAAAAATTGAGATAAGCAAAGAAAGCAACAAAATTAATGCAAACAAAACGTGGAAATGTAAATAAGAGAAAGAAAAAGAATTTAGAAAAATAATACAAAAAATTGTGTGATACACGTGAACATGCATATGTTTGAATACATACATATATGTATGTGTTATATTATAATATATAGATATGCATGTACATATAAATATATGCCAGCAGGAATGTTATGTGTATATATTTACTTAAGCACATAACCACATACATATTTATAATCAAAGACGATGCGCTATTTATTGTAATGAAATCAAATGACTTGAAATTAAGTAATAAATATACCAAAACGTAACATAACTTAACCGTAGCATAACATGAGCATCATATACCAGCACCATAACATTTGATGCAACATTATTATGAAAAAATAACATAACTCAACCATATGATAACATAAAATAAACATAACATAACATAACATAACATAACATAACATAACATAACATAACATAACTTAACATAACATAACATAACATAACATAACATAACATAACATAAAATAAAAAAAAAATAAAAAAAAAAATAAAATAAATCAGAATAACATAACATAACATAACATAACATAACATAACATAACAAAATCAATAACATAATATTTCATAACCAAAATATAATATAAAATAACATATTATAACATAACATAAAACACCATAACACTACATAACCATAGCATAACTATAATATAACAAAAGTCTTACAATTCAAATATTTACTAAAAAAATTCAATAATTCACAGAGGTTATCAAACACTTGCGTGTTCCAGCGTCGCATTTACATACATACATATGTATGTATATGTATGAGAATTCAAAAAAAAAAAAAGAAAACGAGGAAAAATATAAAAAATAATTACTAGTGTAGAAATACTGCACTGAAGTGTTAAATATATTAAGAAAGTGTATCTGACGTAGTGCGCGCCAAAATGAAATATAAATAAGAATGTTCAATAAGTAAAACAAGTCGGTAGAGTATGAAGCAGATAACAGTGCATGGTAAGTTTGATTTAATTTTTCCACTAAAACTACTATTTTCGAAAATTAGTTATAACATATCTAAGAATTTGTAAGAACAACTTTTCAAATAATCTCTGTTTATAGAAAATTTTGGAGTACCGATTTTTGGTGCAGCAAATTTTTTATGTACCTTAATTTTGCAGGAAATTTTTCTCAAGACGACTAATTTTCAGCCTAGTACCGAATTTCGGTACTTATACTTTTACGGTACACCCAACTTTTTGAAAAGGCGGTGGTTACAAGTACAGATTTTTTAAAGCATTAAATTTTGCGGAACATATATATTTACATACATGTATTTATGTGTTTACCTAAATAAGTAAAATATGCATCAGCATACCGATTTTCGGTAATGGAAAATTTCTTTGTAAATGCAATATTAAAAATAATTTAGAAATTTTATTAATAAAATTACAACAAAAAGTTTTTTCATTATCGAGTTTCGGTTCAGTTACTTTTACGGTATATCAAATAATTTCAAAATTATTTTAAAAGTGAAAATAAATTAAAAATAAAAAAATTTTGATAAAAATAAATTGTAGAATACCGATTTTCGGTACATACCCGTAGAAAATTGGTTTTGCAACCTAATACAAATTATACATATATTGAATATTTCGCATCGTACAAAAGATTTTTGGGGATGTGTAAGTATGTCTGCCCAATTTAAGTAAATTTTTCTAACCGAGGTACCGGCAGTCTTTGGCAACAATTTTCACAAATACATACGCACATAAATATTATTTATGTACCTACTTAGTGGTATCGATATCTGCTTTGCTTATCGTACGTAAGCAACAACACTTGTAGTGGCTTCTACAAAAACAAAAAGAAAAAGAGAATACGTTGATGGTATCAGCAAAAGCTCATACTATCGCCACGATGCTCTCTAATCTCGTCTATCAGCCTAAGTTGTAGAAGTCATTAATCACAAAAATAAAAATAGGTAATTAAAAAATATTACAACAAACTAAACATTTAAATTTCGAATGCACACATTTTAGGTACTGGCGAACCTGTAGTTTTGTGCGGTATCGGTACTTCTCTCCATAAATCGAACTCCGACGCGTACAATATTTTTTTTAATAAAAATTGACATTTGTTTTTATTAATTTCAGATCAATTTTTATTTAATTTAAGAGAAACTAAAAAATAATAATTTAATATTTAAGGTATTCCGCAAGCATGTATACATATATGTATTTTTACATATTTCCCACCTTATCTTCGCGCCTATAATTTAGTACTTATTAACATATGTATATACATAGATATAAAATAACTTGTTATGTATATGCCTTAACCATATCTTTAACATCAAAATTAGTCACATATACTTATTTATTTCTTTAGTATGAATGTACGTCTGTATGTATGTCCAAAAGTAAATAGGTTTATTTGTAAAGCAATTTTAGCTTATCACTTGAGATATCAGCTATTTGTATCTGTATCACGGCATTTTGAGTCCGGAAAAAGTTCATATATTGATATACATAAATACAATATATGTATATTTTATACAATATTTATGTACAAGTTTTTTAACATAGATTCACATGTTTAAGTATTTTTGTTTAGGCGCACACATGCACATTACATAATTATTATCAATTCTTCTATATTATTTACTTTACATAAATCTAAGTGCATCCACTACAACAACACATACATACTCATATGCACGAAATAAAAATCTCAGTTTGTCTTTACATACATATTTACGAGTACATATATTTGAATGCATGCAACGATTGCCAGCTCTAGGTAATAAGAGTATAATTTAAATTGAATGACCGGATGCTTTTTGTGCGTACATTTTTTATTAAACGAGATTTCTGTACAAATTGAAGTCACAATGATTGTGGATTTATATATTTTAGCATAACCAAGCACATATATACATAGTACGTATATGTATGTATGCAGACATTAGTATGCTGTGGGTCCAAAGTTGAGATATTGTCTGAGAGGGAGGCGGACGTCAAGAAGTGATTGAACTTTATTTTACTAACCACCTGCTGGAAATGATATTAAATGGTTAATAGAATAAAATAAAATAAACTAAAATAAAATAAAATAAAATAAAATAAAATAAAATAAAATAAAATAAAATAAAATAAAATAAAATAAAATAAAATGAAATAAAATAAAAAAAAAATTGTAAAATAAAGTAGAATAAAATAAAATAAAATAAAACGAAAAGAAATGAAATGAAATGAAGTGAAATAAAAGAAAATTAAATAAAATGGAATGAAAAAAAAATAAAATAAAATAAATAACATATAATAATGAAATTATATATCATAATATAATGTAAATAATAAAATATGTATATGTTTGTATATACTCGTTTATTAGGGTGGACCAAAAAAAAATTTTTCTTGTGGTTTATCTAGTTTTCAATAATAAATTTATAGAACAAACTCATCCAATTATTATTTAAATTAAATGTTCAAAAATTAATTTTATTAAGCATTTATAGATATTTTATAAATATTTTATGGCTTCGTCGCCAAACACTCAATTAGTTTTACGAAATATATGATATGTTATGTTTTTAACCCATTTCCAGCACCTTTTTGTACATCAGTAAATTTTTTATAAAAATATGTTTCCATTTTCGCTTTACAATTTTTTGTTTGTGTACATTAAAAAAAAAAAAAACACAAAACAAAGTTTCCTGTGTTACTAAGATGGTAACTCGAAAATAGCAATGAGTCGCATCGTAATATTAATACTAAGGGCTTAGGCCTTACCAGATTTTTTTTTGTCTTTTTTGATGAGATTTTCATGGTAACTAAAGAAAAAAAAAATTTTTTTTTGGTCCACCCTAATATATATATAAATTTTTATATATATATATAATTGGAGCTTTGTAACCGCTGAAGTGACTTTCTCCAGTTTGCAATTTTACGTCTTGATATTTGTTCAATGAATGGAGTCATCTATAGCTTTCTGCAAGCCGCCTCTGAACGGCCGATGGATTTTTATGAGAATAATTTTTTTGATGGCAGAAAAACAATCGGAAGGCTTGACATTCTCTGCCGGTGGGAGATCGCATTTAGAAGAAAACGTAGTTTTCTTTGGTCGAACCAGGACTCGTAAGGCTAACTATTCGGCTATTGCCGGCGCTATTAATTTTTTTCTAAGCTTCATATTCTCTCACATCACGTTTTTTTCTACTCTGATTAACATATTTTTAGCAACGTGCGTATGTTCGTAACATTAAATGAAGGATAAGGGTATAATTGTATTACCGTTAGAAGGTGAACTGTGACGTGTGATAGCGAAACGAAATATTCGCTAGCGTACAAGTAGTAGAATGTAGCAGTATGTGATTAAAAAAAAGGAAATAAATAAAAGCAGGCGATAAAGCAGTACATAGCGATATGCGTAACACTTACAAATTTATATCAATTTGTATTTTAATTTTTTTTTTTTTGGTTTTTTTTTGGTAATTTCTTACGTACTCCTATTATTAAATTTATCAATTTCAAATGCATAACACGTCGCTCAGCGCGCCAATGGCCACATAATTTTGTACGCATATAACGAATCATTTGAAAATCTAATGGAATCACTTCAAGTTAAAAAGAGTTAAATTTGCGGCAGCAAAAGAATAAAAAAAGTGCACCAAGAAGAAATTGAGCTCAGTAAAAAGCAAATAGAAAAAAAAAATTGAGTGAAAAAATGAAAAATTTTGCAATATATACATACATGCATAGATATAATCAAAAAGTAATTGACATATTTTTAATTTTATTTTAATGTTTAAAATTTTGTAATTTTACTTGCATGATTTTTTTTCTTTTTAATAAAAAAGAACGAAATCTTTAATAAGTTTTCCTCCAACTAGTCAGCTCTGCCACACAAGACAGGAATGCAATGTACACTTCAGTTTCACAAACACATACGCAACATATACGAGTATAATTATGTATGTACATGCACGTAGTTTAATTGCCAAATGCGCAGCCGGTTCGACCAGTTTCCACCGCCTTTCCATAGTTGTTTACTTGGATATTCTTGTTGCATCATTTTGTGCTCTTTAGTTGTTATTAATATGTTGTTGTTGCTGTTATATTTTTTTCTTTAGTTTTGTATACTACTTATTATATTGCAAACGTTCAGGCCCCTCCCTAAGGTCGTCTGCTACTACCACCCAACCACAACCAGTTTGCTAGGAGACGCCAATCGGCCGGCTTTGCAGCACACACACATGCCATATGTAGTTAGTACATATGTAAACATATAGTATATGCATAAATATTGCTATATGATTTTTCGTTTGTTGTTTAATGTTATATTTGTTGTTTTTGTTGCTTTTATTGCACTTTGTTATTCTTTATATAGTTGAAATTGTAAGTAGGAAAATATCTGTTATCATTTTACCATTACAATTGTTGTTCTGTTCAAAGTATAAACTTTAATTTAATTTTAATAACTAAAAGTGTTGTTGCAGTTGTCGAGATATTTCTTTTAATATTTATTGTTTCCTGTTTTTTAGTTGATTGATTTCTGTTTTTATTATTAAAAATTTTTATTTACTTTTTCACACTATTTAATTTTAAAATATGATTTTAATTTACTTAATTTAATTACCTTTACTTTAACATAATTTAATTTAATTTCATTTAATTTAATATTTTAAATTTAATTTTTATAGCGATTCAGGCCTTAGCAACTTGTGCACTAAGTACGTTAGTGTAATATTGTTATAATAAATAATAATAATAATATTTTATTTTTATTCAATATAATTTCATTTTATTTATTTGGATTTACTTTTTTTTTTAATTTAATTTAATTTCATTAAATTCATTTTTTTTGTTTCTATTTTATTTATTTTATTTAAAACATTTTTTTATTTCATTTGGTTTAATTTTTTTTGGTTTATTTAATTTAATTGAATTTTATTTTGTTTTAGTTTATTTTATTTTATTTTATTTTTTTTACCTTATTTTGGTTTACGTTATTTA